ATCCAAAATGCCAAGGAATTTGCCCGAAACGAAGAAGATGATGGTGATAGTCGCAGTTCTTTTGGAATTTTGGGGGAACAAGCATATCAATATTAAGAGCTTTTAAATCATGAAGCTGACTTACATGGTATAGTTCGAATTTATTCATGTTCCAGTATTTTTGTTTTCTTTAGATGTTGGATGATGTTAGCAGAATTTCTGGTATTGGATCTTTGAATAGGTTCTGATGCTTGTGGTGGATGTATACAGGATCTTGTGTTAGTGAAATTGATAGGAACAGGATTCCCATACCAAGAATTTCGAACATTGCAATGCACAGGATCTTTTCTCCAGGCCTGCATCATCTTTGTGGGCTTCCATCTGCATTGTCGACATGTGAAAGGCTATCTACTTTCCTATGGCTTGTTGATAGACGCTACCAACATGCTTTTGCAAAAGTGTGGCAAGCATTTGTATAGCATATAAGCACAACCGAAAGACCAATAAAATGGCACTGCCCTATCAATTTGGCTGACAACGATGCAGCAAGAATGAATTTAGAGATATTCTTCGGGTTGAAGAGTAAGCTGCTCCTGTCTCAAAATATCTCAAATATTTGCTTTCTGCAGTTGACATTTTTTTTAAGTTCAATTTTTAAGTATTCTTCGTTTTGTTTCAACCAGTTGATACAAACGGATCTCCTTTAATTAGAGCTTGTTCTGGCTTTTCTTTTTCCTACCGTGTATTAGAGGACTACGATGTTTCTTGCTATACTTTTGCTATTTTAGTATATAACATGCTCTAGGACTGAAGCTGTAAAATCTAAAGAAAACATGAATATAAGCTCAAATGCAATAACAAAGCTGCCACAAAGATACAACACTAGCTAGTTATACAGCAGAATCATGACATTTCTTTCGCCAGAATCTGATGGATATTCTGGCTACTGAAAACTGATAAACCTAATGATGACTGTGGTTCCTTAGGGAGGAAACTAAATTAAAAAAAAAAACTTCATTAACAACTATCATCTGATCTCCATAATGAACTATAATCTGATCTCCATAATTGGGATAAATGTTCTCTTTCTTCTTTTTAGCCTGCTCAGCATATTCCTCTACCGTTTTTCTTTTTTGCCCAAAGATCCTAGAGGAAAAATGTTCTCTACATGATTACTAACAGCAGGACGGACACCATCATGATAAACCACACCATGATAATGCAGCCTAGCCTCTAGGTAAGGATGTCCACTGCTTTTTCCTTCTTTAAAATCATAGAAGATGTACCGCAAGACAGGATTATCACGTGATTCTTGGCCAGTGATTTAGATTTCATTACTTGTTGTTTGTCCAATGAATTTGACATGGCAGATTGACAACTTTCCCAGATTTAAGGTATGATCTTTCCACTCACTAATCTCAGAGTCGTATCTCCACACTTGGAACACACAAGGGGTATAGCTTTTCCTGCATACAAGTCCGATGTCATTCCCAATTTGAACCACTTCCAAACTTCTATCAACCCCTTCTGGAGCTTCTAGGTATCGAAGGGTTTTGAATTGTAACTCCCTTATCAAGGGATATTGCTCTCTTATCAAGGTACTTAAAAGAGCTAGGTAACTCCCTCCAGTTGTTTGTTCCCAAGGTGAATATCATGCCATTACCAGATTCTCTTTTAATGTACAGCACCTTAAACTTATTATCTTTACATAAAAGATGGAGGAATACTCCACACTGAAGCGAGCAAGAACATAGTCGAAGCAAAGGCTTTGGCAAGGATATCATTTCGCCAGAGGTTAGATTGAGAAAGTGGAGTTGATAATCTTTGTGTAACTTTTCATACAAACAAACCATCCCGTTGTCAATACCCGAGCAAGGGAAGCAGCCTTCGAAGTTGTAGGTTTGAAGTACGGTCGAGTAGGTTCCATCCAGATTCACCGGGTAGAGTTTTGCGGGTGAAGTCCTAGATTTTGTTTTGACACATAACCCATGCATCTAGCTTCTGTCCTCACTTTTGATTGCTCCTGGTGCGTCTCTGCAAACCTCGGGTCAGATATCATGGATTTCCACTGCTTGCAAACAGCTTTGAATCTCATTAGTAATTTTTCTGGAAGTAAAACTAGTGTGCTGGGTATAACATCATCTGGAACGTGAATCTCCATCTTCTTAAACCCTAGCAGTTAGCTTCCTCAGTTTCTGGGTTTTGCAGTACAAAACCCAGAATCTGGAGTTGATTGAAATCACAAGTAATGCTTCATTAAAAAGGTGAGGAAGTTGCCTCGCTTGGAATCACTACTAAAAATATTAGACTGCACTAATGGGAAATCAGTTTTTCTTGCTAAAGAATTAATTACTAAAAGAGAAAGTACATAGATAACTTTTTCCTTTTTCTGTTTCTGCTGACTGAGATCTCAAACCTTCCAGCTGCCGTATATATAGTTGTACATCTACAAAAGATTGAAGCCACCATTTACAGAAAAACACATTGAAAAAAAAAAAAACTTTCGTGAGAAAAAAAATATGAAAGAATGTGAATTGTTTAAATATTATCTTTTGGTTAATTGAAAAAAAAAACCGCGTGAAATTCCGACAAGCTAAGGCATTCTGATTTTGATATTTCGCTTTGCAAGATCAACTCCGGCCACTTATACTTTCCAAACGATAGAATGTATATTATGAACTTCTGGAAAATCGATCAAAGTGATTTTTGTGAGGGTGATACTTCCCTCACCTGCAACTTCTTAGAGGGGTTTCATCCATCTGACTTTACTATCGTTTGTTGTTAGTCGCAACCATCATGTTTTCGTCAATGTTCAAATTTCTCTCTCTCTCTCTCTCTCTCTCTCTCTTATATTATACACCCGGTGTGCGTAGTCATTGTTTTGAATAATTCAATTTCGATCTGAATTGGTTTTTTTTTTGAGAGGCAAAACTATCTCACTTTAATTTTTTTTTTCTTTTGGAGATTTTACGCACCAGCACTCGTCTGTAGTCATTGTTCCGGCTAATTCAATTTCAAGCTGAATAGGTCTCTTTTGAAGGCAAAGCTCTCCCAACTTAATGTTCAATTTCTGTTTTTTCTTTTGTTTTCTATAAGTTGATATAAATATACCTCCTTCCGGAAAATCGCAATTCAACTGCTAATTTAGATTTCTAAACCCTTAAACCCCTCAAAAATGTTTCAATAAAACAAAAATATACAAAAATCTCATTTGCATTGTTTTAAAAACACAAAGATCAAAAGAACACTATAAAAATGGCAAAAAGAGAAAGAGGGGTACAACACGAGGAGCGGACTATTATTCTCGGATAGAGAGTCAATGACATGCTCTCCGGCTGAAGCTACGTCCAAAGAAATTATGGTCAAAACCTAGAATACAAACTCAAATGCAACAACAAGCTGCAAGAAAGATTCAGTTCAACAAGGAAACTAGACAGAACACTTTCAACAATGAAACAAGATACAGAACACGTAATAAGTATTGCAGAACATGAAGGAGATTAATTCAACCTACTCAAAATTTAAACTAATAGTAATAATAATAATAATAATAATAATAAATACTCCTTAGGGAGGAAACTAAATGACAAAATCAAAATGAACCGCCATAATATGGATAAATCTACGCTTCTCTTCATTTTAGCCTTTTCAACACATTCGTCTGTTCGTTTTCCTTTTGCCCAGAGATCCCAAAGGAAAAATGTTCTCTACATGATAACTAAGAGCAGGAGCATAATAAAGCAGCCTAAAAAAGGAGGTCTACTGCACTCATCTTTCTCAAACTTAGAGCGGGTACAGACCGGACCGGAACACCCCTGCCCGATTTTCAGCCAATTATCAAGATTTCACTGCATGCTTTTTGCTTGTTTGTCCAATGAATTTAACCTGGCAGATTGACTCCTTTACAAGATTCAGTTTGTACCCTATCTAGTCAGTGCCATCATATCTCCACACATTGAACACACAAGGCGTTTAGTGTTTCCATCATTGCGTTCTTATCACTTAATGGCTCCAAATAAGTTAAATATGTGCATCTTCTTTGATGGCTAGAATCCGAAATTGCATTGGAACGCGTGTCTATGTTAGTCATCAAGATAGCCATTTTGTTCTAGCAAGAGGCCGCTGCTTGAAAAAGGTTATGCTTTGTCTGAACTTGCAGAGTTTATGCAATTGAAGGATTCTTTACTAACATTGAAAGAGTTTAATCTCAGTACAATCTTGGGTGATTCCGCTGTAGCTATGTTGGCGCTATTAGCGGAAGCGGATTGTTCAAGTCTTTGTGTACCATCAGTTCTTTGAGATAATACAGATCCTACTAGATTTATCTTTCGAACCATCAACTAGTGGATCATGTTCATAATGGATTTGGAACCATCAACTGCTGTGGAGCGTACATTATTAGCTACAGCTACTCCCGGTTTTTTTGCAGTCACAACCAAATTCCTTCCATAATCATTGAAGTTGCATCTAGGAGGGCAGGCTTTGTTCGTCCAACCGAATCGATCTTCTGACAGTGGTACATCCGAAGATTGAGCCACCCTTTACAGAAAAAATCATACTCCTCCTTTTAGAGCAATTACTAATTACACAGACAAAAAAAAGAACATTTATCATGCGCAAATTTTAAAAGGTGCAATTATTATATGTAATGTTGTTGGATTACAAGTTTTTCTTTTTTCTTTTTTTTTGGTTAAAAAAGAAAAATGGTGGAACAGGGAGGATAGTTAAGATACTGCTGAAATCTACGAGAGTGAACCTCATGAGCTGTGTGTATAATTGGTTCAGTCATTGAAAAGTTTGGTTACAATGCTTATCTTTCCATGAGTGGACGCAGATAAATTTGCACAAAAGTAAAAGCATCCGACAAGGAAAGTGACATAAAAGTGGGAGCAAAACTGGCAGGGAAAACTACATGGAAATTGAAAACCTTTGCCTTAGTTCTTTCTCTCTTTTCCTTTCTGCAGTACCTCCCCACACCCCCTCCGAAAAATCGATTTTTCTCTTTGTTTTAGTTTTGGAAGATGTCTCAACAGTGGTCTGATTTTGTTGGCACTGTCGACAGGGCGGAGGAGATAATGTTCCGGCGAATAGCTGGCCAGGGTATATCTGAAACCACAAAAGACAAGGTTCAAGGTGCTTTCGGGGATCTGAGATTTCTGTCTACCTTTTTGGGTTACTTTGAACTGAAGAGGAGCCATGAAAACACGAGATCACGAAGATATTATCAAAAGCATAGCAATAAGGAGGAGGATGCCTTGTTCAACGATGTTGCAGCTGCTGCGAAAGAAATCGAAAGGTATCTTCAGCATTCTGTGATTGACAGATTCAACAATGATCCTGATGATCACCAGACGAAGTTGACTGCTAAATCTTCCGACTCGGAGAACATTGATGACAGCGAGTTGGACTCCAAACTCCTTGGCATTGTCTCCCCTTTGAGTGAGAAGTTACTCCTCTGAGGTCAGACATCATTGAGAGTGCTATAGTTTTCTATCGAACTCGCTTTGAAGTACCACTTGCTCATCAGCTTGAGCCTACGGCAGCAGCTTATGACTGGAACCCTTTCCGTTTATGTCTAGAGAAGGGCCTGATATATCTGAAAAAACATGAATCCCAGAGAAGAATCCTGAAACGAATTCTGAATTCTCTGGATTGGCTTCTCACGACACCCACAAAAATTACCAGAAATGGTCTTCTTGGAAGGAGAATATAGTGGTTCAATTGGGAGCAATCCTTCTCGACGCTGCCAACTGTTATTGCGCTAGCTGCTTGTATCCATCAAAAGATTACAATGTACCACATCTTGCTAGGTACCTGGTAGATGCGCACTTAGAAATGGATCTTCCTACTCCAGAGCTGCTGGAGGACATTATTTTAGATTTCTCCAGAGAATGTGATCATCATCATCAGGAAAGATTCTTTTCTTCTTTTATCAGTTATATGATTGGTGTCAGAGATGAATTTGAACTTGTGCGGAACGAATTGCTGTTCCTACTTACATGCCAGGACATGATGGAAGAGGAATTGCGTAGGACTTTACGAGTTGGAATCAAGGATGTGCTTATGGGGACCGGTTCTCTAGTAGAAATTAAACAAACAATGGCAGAAGCACGTAAAACTCGATATGCGATTTCGCTGGCTAGGATTTGGTCTCTTAAGACTGAGATTTTCGTCAACAGTAACGGTACCCTTACATTTTCAAAGGAAAACCATGTCGAGGCCCTGCGTGAGGGGTGTAGATCTCTCCAGGATTTGTCTCATGCCATCTATGTAGATGGGCCAAAAGGTGAATCTCCTGGGATCTTGAAGGTCATTCAAGGGGTTCCTAATCAGGTGGAATCTGTCTATCAGTCCTCATCTCTTCCTGATGATATTAACATCAAGGTCAGCATTTTCCTTCTCAATTCTCTTGTACACATGCTGCTAATAAGGGCAAATCAGCTCCTTTTGGAGTTATTGAAGCCTGAATTTGCAAGTCTGATGCTTCCCCCTCTGAAGCACAAATTTGCAAGTATTCAGAAGGGACTCCTTTTCTTGATAGATGTAGTAATTAATAAAGAGGATGAGAAGCCGATCTTGACACACATTGAAGTTGTGGCTTCCGGAGTAATATCTGTCTGTAACACACTTTCTGTTGATAAAAGTCTCACAGAAGAAGGAGTCAAGGACGTGGATGTTCGGCTTCTTGATTTGTTCTAAGGGTTTTGCATTTAGTAAAACGGAGAGGGTTGTTCCAAATTCCTAAATTTAGTGCTCCTAAGATTCCTGGTTTGTGCTTCGTTGAATTGCACATACAAAGTACGAGAGATCTGCTCAACCGTAACCTTGACTCCATAGCATATGCAATTCTCCAAATGGCAGCCATCTCTACAGAGTTGGCTTTCATGATATCTACATTTCGGGAGATTTTTGAGCAAGGCATCGAGATTCAGAAGCATGGTGATCTTCTTACGCTGCTTGTAGACGTTGCATATCAGGTGGAACATGCCATCGGCTCAGTGTTGAATGAGAATAAGGAAGCTTGGCAACATTTTCTATGGCTGGATCATCTGTTGGAAGAGACTAGGCATGTAAAGATGCAGCTTGCAGATTTGAACGGGAACAACAGTTTCAGTGGAGAATGCGATTTCTCCCAGCAGCCGATGGCGATGCCTATTATGTCACAGGTTGCCACCACAGTAAGTGCAACTGAAGAAGTTATGGTTGGACTCAATGATCATAAACAGAAGATCATTGATCGACTCACCTCAAACGAAAAGCAGCTGAGTATCATCTCAATTGTCGGAATGCCAGGAATTGGAAAAACCACCTTGGCAAATAATGTGTTCCGAGATAAAATGGTTACATCTTACTTCCCAGTTTGTGCTTGGAGCTGTGTATCTCAAAGATATAGGAAAAGGGACTTGTTGCTTAATCTCCTGGGACACATTATCTCTATCACAGATGACATCAATGAGAAGGATGATAATGATCTGGAAAACTTGTTGCATAAAGCGTTGAAGGGAAAAAGGTATCTGATAGTCATGGATGACATGTGGAGTACGAAGGCGTGGGATGATTTGCGGCTCTCATTTCCAAATGACCCATACGGTAGCCGAATTTTGATAACGAGTCGTCTGGAGAACGTGGTTTCAAGCATTAGCGATCCTCATCCTTTCCGTCCACTCTCTGAGGAAGAAAGCTGGGATTTGCTGAAGTTAAAGATTTTTCAGGAAGAGGAGTGTCCTCTGGAGCTGTTGGAAGTTGGTCGACAAATTGCTATAAATTGCAAGGGATTGCCTCTGGCAATCAGTGCAATAGCTGGTCTTCTTAATAGGACTTGCGGAAGGAACCGAGATATGTGGAAACAAATCGCAAACAGCGTAAGCTCACGGGTGGTTAATGATCCAGAAGATCAATGCAGGAACATATTAGAACTCAGCTACAATCATTTACCTGATCACTTAAAAGCTTGTTTGCTTTATTTTGGTGCATTTCGAGAGGACAGTGAAATTCCAGTTTGGAGATTGCAATGGTTATGGATCGCGGAAGGATTCATTAGCAACTTGGGGTCTAAAAGCTTGGAGGATCTTGCGGAGGAATACTTGATGGACCTAGTTGGTAGAAATCTTGTCATAGTGGCAAAAAGAAAACCGAAAGGTAAGGTGAAAGCTTGTCGAGTTCATGATGTGGTACGAGATTTGTGCTTGTTGAGAGCTAAAGATGACAATTTCTTGCTGCAAATAACTGCTGATGATGAACCTTATTCTTGTTTTACTGATTTAGACCCTGATGTCCCACTTGAGCTTTTCATTACTTCAAATGAGACAACATACAATGAATATCGGCTGTGTTTCTGTGTGAACCGAGAACACTTTGCTGTGTCGAAGCCTTCTGGTTCATTTGTCCGATCTCTACTATTCTTTGCCACTTCTGATATATATCCAAGATGCCCTTATGATGTCTCCTTCATTCCCATCAACTATAGACGTCTCAGGGTGTTGGATTTGGAATCCATCAACATTGGTGCCTCATTCGAGAATGGAATTGAACTGCTTGTTGATCTAAGATATCTGGCTGTTTGTGGTGATATGGAATCCATCCCGGCATCGCTGTCCAACCTAGAGAATCTTGAAAGTTTACTTGTGAAGAGTCTAAAGAGGAAAGTTGTATTACCAGAGACCTTATGGAGGATGAGAAATCTGAGGCATATATATGTAACTAAGTGTGTTATCTTTACTTGGCGACGGGCCGAAGATGGAGATTCTTCTCAGTTGCTTAGTTTGGTATCACTTTCTTTTCCATGTCTTACATGTGGGGAGGCAACTGCTGAGATGATGATGAGGTTTCCGAACATTCGAAAATTGAGGTGCATTGTTTTGAAACCAGTCGGTGTTTCGATGGGCTTCTCTTCATTTCCTGCATTCAGCTCACTCTGCAAGTTGGAGTCACTGAATATGTCATACCACGGGAAGGCCCTCAACGCTGGCGAGGTGAACTTTCCTTCCGGCATAAAGAAGTTGACGTTATCAAACTTCCGGTTGCCGTGGAGCCAAATCTCAGTGATTGGGAGATTGCCCAACTTGGAAGTCCTGAAATTGGGTTGTAGATCATTTGAGGGGTCAACCTGGAGAATGGAAGAAGGGGAGTTTCTCAATCTCAAGTACTTGAAACTGGACGCACTGAATATTGTCCATTGGGATGCTTCCGTTGATAATTTGCTGCCTCAGCTTCAGCAGCTCATTGTGCAAAATTGCGAGAAGCTTGAGGAGATTCCTTCAGACTTGTCTACATCTCAACATTAGAGAAGATTGAGGTTCAACATTGTGGAATTTCTGTTGAAGAGTCTGTGAAAAGAATCAACGAGGAAGGGATTGAAGGGCTCCAGATTGTAATCACCAGCTCACATTCTTCAGGCGCATAAAGGAGTTATCGATTTGTGAATGTCCTGTTTAACAAGTAAAAGAGTCCTGTTGAAGAATTTCAGTGAACTCTATTCTAGCCAAATCTTAGCAGATGAAAGCAGTACTAACCACTCACTGTGAACTGACTTATTTTGGTTTAGGTGGGTTTTCTTTTGAAGGGATCAAGTTGTCAGTCAGTGAAGTTTCTCAAGCTTTTGGATACTGATGTGCTGAATTTATTACCATCATGGCGTCTCTCGCGACTCTGAAAGTTTTTTTTTTTTTTCTTTCCCTTTTGTACTTTTGGAATTCAGTTCAGTGTGCATTAATTCCTATTGGGAAGCTTTGCGTTTTGTGCGATTTTTTTGGTAATTCGCTGTGATTTTGATATATACTATCTTTTAAATTGGAAGGCTACTGAATACCTTAATTTTTTTCATTTGAACGCTTTAAAAAACCTTAAAAAGACTATTTTGTTCTCGTATATTTATTTTTTCTTATACTTAAATAAAAGGCACAGTAGTCAAGAAATAATGCCCAAGAAATATTCAAGGACCACCGTCAAATCGATCTCGGCCGTCGGACGGGCTCGATATGATGTCAGCGACTTATTAAGGTCAAAAATAGAAATTCATAAATTCATCTCAATCCAAAAAAATAAGGAAATCTGTAAGATTTTGAGGAGAAAAAACCCCAACCCACAAAACGACGTTGTTTTGTACCATTACAAAGACCTCATTGTCCTCATCGTTTACCACAACCCACTTCCTCCTTATTTTCGAACACCTCACTATCTTAAAGAAAACGTACCATTCCCCTCGTCGTCCACGGAATCTCACACCCCCCCCCCCCCCCCCAAAAAAAAAGAAAACCATAAGGCACGCTCTCCTGCTCCGCCTACACTGACATCCACCATCGTCCATATTGACAAAATTTTCTTTACAATTTAATCCCTTCTGCAATGTCTTCGATTGTCCCAACAGATTTGATACGAGATGCCTGAAAAGACGGCAAAGTGGAAATCTGATGATTCGAATAGCACCGTTCCCGCTGCCCTGGGTTTCAAGGACTCCGAGAGTAGAGAAGCCGATGTTGAATGCATTGCTATAGATCTCAAAGCCGGTCTTCACCGCTCAAGGTCTTTCTTTTTCCCTTTTCCCTCCCTTTTTGTATTTTTTTTTCATTATGTTTCTTTTTTAAACAAATTCAGTCTTTTTTTTTTTAATTAAAAGTAATCTCTTTGGTGTGTTATCTATTTATTTCGCCATTTATCTCTTGTTCTGCTAAATGTACTTTACCTTGCATTAGGTGTTTGAATGTTGTTAGCGATGATGATAATTATAATGAAGTTGCAGTGTATGGAAATTTAGTATTCTCGGAGTAAATTTCAAAAGATTTGTTGTGAGCAATAATTATCCGATATATGTCTCTATTAATGTTTGAAGTTTTGCCTTTTACTTCCTTACAAATTATAGGTTTGTTAGAGAAATTAATCATCCTCTATTTGATGGGCTGTTTAGATTAATCCATGGCCCTTTAGCTGGGTCTAGAGGAATTCATGTGCTCCACGAACAGAGCAAAAAGTAATACTCTGTACAAGATCCTCTAATAGAAAACATCATTACCAAAGCTTCAGTTCTCAAGTTTTTTGTTTCAGCAAAGAAGAAAATTTGGTGTCATTTTGAAAGTTATGCACACTTGGAGAACTTACTGCAAAGTAAGGAATTTTGTGAACTGGAGTAGTAACATGTGTTTGATCTTTTGAGGGTTGTTTTCATGAACCTCTTTCCTCATGGTGATTATTACTGATTATGTTTCTAAAATACTACTGAACAGAGAAAACAAAAACTCTCTGAAGTTAAACCCGGATTGGATGATGCTGATGCTTTGGTAACGTAATGGTTTCTCTTTTAAAAGGTTTGAAGCTTTTATCATATTTTTTATTCTGAGTTTTCATTAATTCTGGTTTATAATCTCTGCAGATTTGTAAGATGGACCTTGAGGCTCGAAGTTTGCCTCCATGATTCGAAGTCCATGCTTCTTACCAAGTTAAGAGAGTATAAAACGGACCTCAACAATTTGAAGACTAATGTTAACAGAATATCTTCAGCTAATTTAAATCAAGCTGCACGAGACGACTTACTGGAATTAGGAATGTCCGATGCAATGACGGTACTCTCCTTGGTTCTTTTCTTGCTTGATTTGATTTTTCTTATTGACTCATTTGCTTGATTTGGTTCTTTTATTTCCTATTGATCTTTGTCAATTTTTTTTCTTGAAAGTGCTATTGTCTTTATAAAATAAAATGAGTCCTTTTCTTGAAAGTGCTATTGTCTTTATAAACCCTCTCCCAATCCCGCAATGATAAACAAAATCCCCAAATAAAATCCAGATTTGTCCAATGAAATCATCTGTGGCAGTATGAAAAGCCTACAAAATAAAAAATTTGGATTTATCCAATAAAATCCGGTGGAGTTTTTGCCGCCTTAGTGTTTGAGATTCTTTTTTGGGGGGTTTTGAAGGAATTTTGGAGGTGAATTGCTGCGGATGGTTTTCGACTGCTGCTCTCCTCAATTCTATTCCTCTTCTTCATTATTGGCCGCCTGGCATTGCTACCGTGTGTAAGAATGGCTGGAGAAGAACAAGATAGTGATGGCTGGCAATGATCGATAGAGATAGCCCGCAAGGAACCACTGAGAAACAGAACATCGGCGTCGCAGAACTAGCCTTTCTTTTTAAGGTTCCACAGCCACTATCTATGCAATTTAATTCCTGTGTTGATAATATCATAGTTCACGCTTTTCAATTGGATTGGAGTGTAGTTCTATTTTGTCAACAGAAAAACACATATCATCTAGAATTAAAAAAAAATACTCAAGGCAAATTGTATTTTAGCTTTTACTTTTAGTCAGGTTGTGGCCTTGAATACTGAGACATTTCTTGTTCCTGCTGCCAAGTTTTCCCTGTTATTGAATTTTCTTTATAATACTCACTGTGCCACAACAATGTAACTAACTTGCTTTCTGGTTTGCCTCAGGGTTTTGGAAATTTCCACCTTATGATATACTAAATGAATTTCAGAAGGGTCTTAGCCACATTGCCACTGTGTATAGAGATTTAAACAAGACAAAAGAGATAGCAAAGAAAGCGGAAGGTGAAAATCTAGCAGCTCTTCTTTATATTGTGCTACAAAGTGATTCTGCCGTTGATACATTCCTACTTGTCTCTTGGAATTTTTGCCAAAGGCTAATCTATCCGCACAAGAATGCCTTGCGTAATGTCTATCCTTTTGATTTGAGCATGTGAAATTGGACTGTTTTGAGTTGCAACTTCTCCACTATATTCCTTTTATTTGTTCCTGATTGATAGACATATATAGTATATGACAACCTACTTCTTGCTTCTAATATGAACACTTGAAAAATTGCAGACAAGCAAAATGCTGGGTTTAAGTCTTACTTGAATGATGCTAGCAACAAAGATGGAGAACAAGCAATGAAGAGAAGTCCTCCGCCTACTCCTGCTTTCAAGAAGAGACACCGAGGTTGTTCATCTTGCAGTTTGGATTTGGAGAACTCCCCGATTCCTGAGTTCCCTCCCAATGAAGTAGTACTCGATGTAATTACCATAGAGGATGTCATTGGGGAGCTTCTTCAGGTACTGTCTTTGAACCAGAACCGGAGAAACCATTTCTTTTTTCCGCTCTATTGGAGAAACTAAACTTGTAGGGCTTGTAACTACTACTCACCTTATGATGAGTCCATGATTGATTTTTAGTTTGGAGTGTAATCCTACATCCGGGCTTTTGTCTCTAAGAAACTGTACTTTTCTGTAAGTACAAACTACAGCTGCGAATACCGTATTTACTCTATTGTCACATACTAAAGATGACAGCCAGTAGTAACATTAAAATTCATGTATTTGTTCAGTGCTTTCTTGATTAAAGATGATGCAAAATCTCAAAATAAATTCGAGATTCAGTGCAGTTTTTACTAATTAACTGGCAGATTAGGGGGTGAGGTATAAATTTGGATCATGGGACTACATTGATCATGCTTACACTGCTTCAGGTGTATATCTTGATGTTTGATTCCGTTGCTTTAATTTGTACTACTTTGATAAATTTTTGGATCCCTTTTCAACATTTATGTCAATCTCTACTTTTGTTTCAGAGCAATTATGGCAATGCATACTTATCTTCGTATAACTGTTTTGTTAGCAATTAGCATACTTTCATTTCTGTCAATCTTATGATTTGAATTTTTATAGTTTAACACATCCTTCGTACACTTTCTTAGAATACAACACTTTGTTGAATTAGTGCGTTATAACATATTGGGATATAAGCAATAACTAATTACAATTTACAAATAAATAAAATATTAACACTAAACGACACTAAAATCAAAATTGTATATAAACAAAACCAAAAAAATATTATTTGGTTTTGATCATTTTTACAAAACCAAAATCCAAATTCAAAAATTTTTTTTACGAAAATTAAAATTAATATCGCAAATTATAAATAGAATGTCTATGTACACAATTTTATGATGTTTGCCCAATGGAAGAGTTTTCACATATGATGTGTCTGTTCCATTGGATTTTTACTCTCACAATAATCTATTTCATTTGTAATCAATTGATTTAAATTTTCCTTTTTCAAAGTCCATTAGGTAAATTTTTTTACATATATATATGTATTTCCTTAGTCAAAACATTTTAAGATTTTTCAAACATTCTATGTAATTTAAATTCATCATCGTAACTTATCATTTTTAATAACAAGAGTAGTATAAAATGATTTGACAAAAACACTGGTGGCGCAATGCGCGACGGGTACAAGACTAGTTTTAAAAAAAAGAGGAGCGAGGGACGCATTTTTGCACCAGCCTTTCACGGCTGGCGTAGGAGAAACATGCCACCCTTTCACGGGTAGCGTGCACTTGGCGAGCAATTTTTGTGCCCCTGAAAAAAGGGTGGCACACAAATCATACACCACCCCCCCTCCGGTTTGGCAAGCAAACCATTCGCCAAACCGATTGGGTGGCAGTCTAACCGGCCGTCACTCTGTTTTTAATTTATTTTTTAAATTTATTTATTTATTTAATTCTTCAATTTTATTTATTTATTTATTTAAGTATATTTATTTATTTGTTTAGTGGTTAAATAAATAATTTTAACTTAGATAAATAAATTTTTAACTTAAATATTTGGATAATGTTGCTAAATTTTGCATAATAACTTTATTATTTAATTATTTAAAATTTTTTAAACTTAAATAAAAAATTAACATTTAATAATAACTAAAACTTATGAATTTACTATCAAAAAAATTATTTATAAATAATTAATACAAATACACTAATTATTTATATATTAATGAAAAATTATCATTTAATACCAACTAAAAAATTATCATTCTCTAAATATTTAAATTAAAAAAATATTTATTTATCATCAGTGCATCTAACCGTCCTGAGAATTTTTTTTGAAAAAATTTAAATAAAAATATGAAATATAAAATACATTGGAATTTCATATTTTTATATTTCATGTTTATCATAAATAAATATAAATTACGTTGTAATTTCATATTTTACCAAAAATTTACCTATTTAATATAACAACTACAACTTATGAACATAATACGTAATTAAAAAATATTCTCTAATTATTAAGTTAAACATTACTCTCTCTGTCCCAAAATTATTGTCCAGTTTGAGATTTCACTTTTAGTACAATTTGAACTAGAAATGAAAACTCAATCTGGACAATAATTATGGGACAGAGGGAGTATTTATTTACCAATGCCATAAACTCTAAATATTAAGATAAATTATCTATTTAACTACCAATTAACATACATTTTCTAGACAAATATTAAACTACCAAACAAATACTCAAATAAAATAAATTAATAAATTAAATTAAATAGATTAAATAAATTTATTAAACTAATAATTTAAATAAATAAATGAAAATAATTAAATATATTAAAAAAATAATTAAATAATTAAATTAAAAATAAAATGGGTGGCACACAAAAAGGTGCCACCCATCGAATGGTTGCTCGCCAACCCGGACAAAGGTGGCGCCCAAAACGGGCGCTACATCTTCGCCTCTGGCGAAGGTTTTCTCGCCTCCCTGTAGGGAGGCGAGATTATTCCACGCCACCCCTTTACCCGGGGGTGGCGTGTTTCTCCTGCGTCAGTCTTTCAATAAAAACCGTGAAAGGCTGGCGCAATTCTCCCTCGGTCCCCCTTTTTTTTAAAAATAAAAATAAAAATTAAGAGTAAAATTATTTTTTTACATCTTTTTAAGACGCTTAAAGTAAAAAGATTAGGGCACTCAGCAGCAATGCCTTTTTCTAAAAACTTCTCTCCAAAAAACATAATGAAAAGGCTCAACAAAAATCTATGAAATCGAAAGATTCATTTTCTACTACTATGGTATTGTTAATCAATCAACACCACTGGTAGATTTTGAAATGCATGAAAGATGCAAAAATTCCTTCCGACCATACGTATCAAAACCAAATGAAAATCAAATCGTTGTTGAAACATGATATTATTGAAGGTTTTACTTTATAGGCAGTAAAATAAAATCCAAAATGAAAATACAGCCGGCAATCTAATTTCCATCCTAAAAAGTTATACACCGTGAAACACCCCCCCCCCCCAAAAAAAAAATAAAAATTATAGGCATAATTCGTAGTATCATGAAGCTTAAGGGGTTAAATTTGCAATTCATACCCCTTTCTTCCTCCGCCGTCGCAAAAACTCAAAAGCCCTCCCCCGTTAAGTTCCCCGTTCATTAAACCCCCTTTCTACCTTTGCTCCACCATTTCACACGCACACACACAGGGACTATGGCGCTCTCAAGAGCCGGAATGGCTTCGCAAAGGATCCTCCGCCACCTCCTCCGGGCTCCTGCCCAGGCATTCTCGACAAGTAAATCTCCAATCCCTTGTTCTCTCCAGATTCATACGTTCGAATTGTTGTCTATTTATTTTCCAATTTTCAAATTCTCTGATTTTCTGTTTCAGAAGCCGACGTTCCGGCTGTGAGTCCGAAGTGGGTTCCGGAGAGACCCGCTGACGAGATGTTGAAAGACACTTACAGTAGGGACCTTAGCTTGCAAACGGGTTTGTGTATGCCGTTATCTATGATGCGAATTGGGACCCTGATTCATCACATTGAGCTCCGACCCGGAGAAGGACCCAAGTTGGTCCGCTCCCCCGCAACCATCGCCAAGATTATGACTGATCCTAGTTCCACATCATCAATGTAAGACTCCTTTCTAGTTGTCCCAATCTTTTTTTGAATTTGAATTTTTTTTGAGAATGTTTGTGAGTGTGATGTGGTGTGGCTTAGTGAGCTTTCGAATTTTGCTTTAAGTTGCTGAACATCAGAGAAAAATTGTCAGAAAGGTACAAGTGTAAGTTATGTGTGCGATGTTTTGTATTCTGTGCTGTTCTAAAAGGGCTCTCTTTTTGGGGAAGATTGGAACTTCTGTAAATCACTAAAGAACAATATTTTAATTTAAAGTTTAGCCTTGTTGACAGCCATTTTGGTGGTTCATCTTGAGGCCATCTTCTTGCTTTTCTCTGTTGTCAGATGAGTGAGAATGTTAACTTGCTAGTGTTGTAGCATTTCAAACTATAACATGTAGCAGAAAATGTAGTAATATTTGGTACCCCGGGGGAAGGGGACCCGTTTCGAACAGTTGTACCGTGTCTTGAGGAGGGGAGAGGGGTGGACAATAGTTTGGTGTTGTTTGCTGCTTATCGTGGTTTGTAATTTTTTGTTTAGTCATACAAAAAGAGGGACCATGATTGTCATGCTGATATTGAGAATTTGGTATATTGCAGACGTTGCGAGATAAAATTGCCATCTGGTGAGAAGAAGTGGATAAACAAGAGTTGTAGGGCGATCGTTGGACCCCAGTGGAATGCAGGGCAGAGGAAAAAGAAGCTACGGAAGGCCGGGCAAAGCAGATGGTTGGGTATTAGGCCGAAAGTTAGAGGTGTTGCAATGAATCCAGTTGATCATCCTCATGGTGGTGGTGAAGGGAAAAGTAAGAGTAGTGGGAGTCATGGGAAGGGTTCTCGGACACCTTGGGGAAAGCCCACCAAGGGTGGCTACAAAACTAGATCGCCAAAGAAGAAGAACATTATTTAAAATAATTCAGTACGTTTTTCACCTAGTTATTTGTTGTTCTTTCTTGAATTTAAGTTTTAACTGCCATTTCTGTGCACACTTTTATCTTTATATTCTAAAAATAATAGGAAATATAGTGCTTGTGCTCACTACTTAACTGTGGCTTCCCGGTTTAGTTTTTATTTAATCACTTAACAACAATTCTATTTTCGAAAGGTATTCTAAATCTAGAGGCCACCAGATTGGAGAGCTTTCTTGTATTTCATTAATTCATCCAAGTATGACGAAACATAATCAAGAACCAGTTTTTGTTCATCAAAGAGTTCTTCATCAAAATATAGGGTCAAATGATGAAATATCCAGATCTAGGTTGTGAGATTTATGATGCTGCAATTGCAACCGAAGTCTAGCCCAATATGAATACATGTAACTCACCTAGAGTCCCAGAAAGCACCAGTGGATTGAATTATTGTGTGGTTCTCATGATTGAACCATCATTGGTTTACATCAATAACTATGATTTGTCATACTCTGTGTCTTGGTTTCTTTATTTGTTTCTGTTTTCGTAATGGGTTGTGGCTGTACTCATTGTTCAACCTTCTTTTTCTTGACGAAAGTAAATTATGGTACAATTATTTATCATGTCATGTCTTTCAGTGGGGATGTAGGGATAGTTGAAGTGTACACCTGAATAAACTCTTACAAGTGCACTAACTGTTTGAAGCCATTAGACTTCCTAAATTGGGTTAATTCTCTATCTTCTTGTCAGTTCCTCAATGTTGATATTCTAGAACTGCATATGTTTCCTTTTTATTTTGTGTGTTTAGGTGTGTCAATTGAAGATAGATGCTATAAATCTGTTGCTTCCCCCTAATCCCCTTGACTTCAGTTTGATTATTATGTCGATTTTAGGAAGGTCATACTTTTCTGTACAGATTACAGGGTAATCAGTCAGTGATGTATTAGTTTCACATCCTTTTTTCTGTGTGTATTTTCATGACCAATCACAAAAGTTGATACAAAAGATCTTTTTATGCATTCCCCCCTCTCAGAATTCACTAGGGATCATAGACACAGATTGTTATATAATCTGGTCTTTGTGAGATGAAACTATGCAAGTAGTGATGTATCATTGGATGAAATGATATGCTACATGTGCACTTTGAGATTTTCCTTATCTCTTCCAATCAAACCATTTTCCTTGAGTTATTTTCTCACTTGTCATTTCTGCTGAAATTCCTTTAGGCTCTGTTTGGTTGGATTGAATTGGATCCAAGAATTGGAATTGGAGGAGGCCTCCAATTCCAATTCTTGTATTTGGCTGACAAAAATAGAGGTTCCAGAATTAGAATTATAATTCAAGATGCCTCCAATTCCAATTCTTGTATTTGGCTGACAAAAATAAAAGTTCCAGAATTAGAATTATAATTCAAGATGAGGTTTAATTCTTTATTTTCAATTCTTTTATGGGTGCAAATAATTGCAATTCAAATTCCGGGGGTTTTAAGAAAAACGCGGGTTCAAACCGGGGCAAAACCGGGTTATAAAAAACAAGTTAAATATCAAGCAAATTGGAAACATGATTGGCACGTGAAACTCACGCACCACAAGGAAGCTCCCTCTTTCACGCGCTAAGGCCTTTTGTCTTTTTGATTTTTTTTAATTAATTTTTTGGTCTCCCTCCTAATCCGCACAATGTGTGCTTCTTTTTTTTTTTTTGGTTTTGGTCTATTTCTCCAATTTTTAAAAGTATTTGCATAATGAATTTAAAAAATATGATATATATATATAATATTGTGATAGTTATCAAATCAGCAAAATCTATCTCTTAACTCAATATGATATTTTGTTTTTGCAAAAATTTTATTAAAATATTTCCATACCCAAAATAAATTTAAAAATATTGATGAGTAATTGCATTTTCTTCGGTTAAGGAAGATTTATATAATCGTAAATGGTTTATACATTTTGTGCACTAAAACTAATACTTGGTCTGAAAATGATTGTTCGCTTTAGATTTCAATATAAATAAAATTTTAAATTAGACAATTATTTTAGGATTAAAAATTAAAAAAACTAAAGATTAAAAATTTATCAACTAATATAAAGGAGATGTTACTTGTGAGAATTCCAATCATCACATTAATATTCCTTACGTAATAATAATAAATTTTTTTTTTCACAAGTATGTAAGTATCTAGTAATTTATAAAATTGATATATATATATATATATATATATTACTCATACAACAAAAGTTCTAATATAAATGTACATAATAAATTTATTTATTTTTTATCTTATATATGTAAGTAATAAATTACTTTGATATATAAAATTAAGTATTTCTTTTACTCAATGAAATGAAGTACTAAATTATAGTTAGATATTAAAAAACTAATTCTAATTCTAGATTTTATAAAATTTATAAGGATCCAAATACAAGAATTGGTATTAAAACCTTAATTCTAGCAATTCTTAAGATCTTCCAAACAAAGGAATTAAGACTGAATTACAATCTTAATATCTCATTTTTAATTTAATAGTATTGTAATTACAATTCAATCTAACCAAACGGAGCCTTAACCAAATTGAGATTGATATACTGCATTAAGTTGCACATCAGGTCTGTTCACAGGAACTATTATTGTGTAGGATTGCAATCAAAACAAATTTGATCACACGCTGTAACAGGTTATTGACGTTATTAGTTTGCAAATCAATGATGGTTTCATGTCTGAATTCTGTATGGCAAATTGAAAATGTGTTGGGTGTGTGTTTGTTTGCATTCGGTGGAAGGTTGTCGATTGGCATTTTTATGATCTTTCACAAAGATAGGAGAAGGTTATTTTCTGTTTCATCTTGCAAACTTAGGCAGAGCTTTCTTTTCCAGTAGTCATTGATACAAGGTTACAGGGGAATGGCATATCAATCATTTCAAGTGTAGGCTAACTATCACTAAAGGAATTGCATAATTGTTTGATTATCAATTCATTAAGAGTACAAAAGCAATATCATACCCGGTGTCCAAATCTATTTCCTTAACTGATATAGATTCTATTTAAGTAGGTCCTGCTCCAAATAATCTATTCGTTTTGATCAAGGAGACCGTCAGATTAACGAACCGAGTGTTTTGCTCTTTAGACATGTAATCATTTAGTATGTCCTTGTATCTGGAGAAGACTTCCTCAATAATCTCTTCACCAAAGTGACGAACAAGCAAAGGCTCAGCTATAGCTCTTATGCATTTGGCAACATTGTTTCCACCATCTCTGAATTTTCCGTTTTCCAGAATTTCGCCTTCATATGCATTCCAATGTATCTCGGAAGTCTCGAGGCGATCGATCTTGAAAGATCCTTCCACCTCGATTAGAGATTGCACTTCCGTCGGAGATGGTTTGTAATCTGGAATGTTGAATGAATCTAATTCCTCTTCTTGTATCAGACCCTGCCATGTCATTTGTGAATGTTAAATAGTTACACAGTATATCCGCCATCTTTGGATATTAGGTGGTCCAAACTTAACCGTGATATCCATTTCTGCAAAATTATTCCTATCGTCTCATTGTAATAGTCCAACAACATGAAGTATGAAAATGTGAAGGAAATAATTGAAATGTGTGTACATAACTTAAACATTAACTGGAATACCTCGGAAACCATCTCTCTTAGAGCCATAGCTAAAAGCTCCCAATGATAATATCCTTCTTTGCTGCAAGGATTTTCATTTTTTCTTCCCAATAATGTCAAAACCATCCGGCCACCAGTCACTATTTCTTCCGAACGGCAGCTTAGAAAAGATGAAAAATCCTTCTCAAACTGCTTCACGTAGGCCTTTATCACACTTGCAGGGCATGAATTTGCCATATGAATGTTTCCTTTATTAGCTTCTTCCATTTCAGGAACCTGTCAACAAAAAGCTAGCTTGATTAGAAAAAAGATGTTTTCTGTGTTATTTTGATTACTTCATTCGTCCCGGGAAAAAGGAAAGAGTCAAAGGATAGGGTTCTGTACCTTGGAAATCCAGTGAAGACTATAAGATGAGTAAACGAAGTGAAGACTTCTGGATGGAAAAAGCCTTTGATAGAATGAACCCGGAACTCCAGTCACAAAACACTGTCCAAAACCAGCTTCCATTTCATTCCTTAGTTTTTCTTGGAATTCAGGCACTGATTTGAAGATGGTGTTGAAATCGTTTGTCGGAAGATCATTCAAGAAGACCTGATATTCTGGAGATTCAAGCCCTAAAGATTTGCGCCTTTTATCGACGGTTTTGATTAGGTCGAAAACAGCCATGAAAGTGTTTGGTCCCGAGGAACATCCCAAATCCGCAATGCACCAGGTTTTGGGAGAAAAGGTGTTGTAGAGCTCTGTGATGGCAGCTTCTGTCATTGGCCTTGTCATTAGTATCACTTTTCTCTGTGAAATGTAGAAAACATCATAAAGGAAAAAAACTTATCAGGAGGAAAAAATAATGTAAATTGTAATGTCACAAACGCCTTTGATTTTTGTCACGTCAACTTCATATATGAAATGTTAAATCAATGAGTCACATTGACAATAAATAACGAAGGTTAGAAATGCAAGAAACTATTACAAAAAATTTGTGTTACACATGTACCTGGAGAAACGAATTGTTTGCGTAACTATTTTCGCCAATCCCTTCATTCATGCGGAGAACATCGATTGTCACTTCAATAGCCATTCCAACCAAACTTCTGTTTGATGCACTATTCAATCAACCCGGAAAAAAAAAAGGTTTTGTTTTGGGCATTAATTGATTGATTATCAATGGGTTTTATGTACTATTTATACGTATATGTTGGTTCTTAACATTGCATAGTCCAACGTGATTTCATGTGTGAAACCGTACGGATGAAATTCAGCGCTAAGCCACCTTATTTGAATTATTAATCTTTAAAAATTTGTTAATTACTTAGCGTCGTGCTGCCTTCTGTACAGAATACATTAAAGAAAGTAAGAAACAATCAAAAGATTGATTTCTTACCTCGAAAAAAAAAAGATTTGATTTCTGTCCTTTGATCTTTTTTGGGTATCATCCGTTCTTCAGGATTAATCTTGTTTTGTCTAACTATCAGATTTGTTATTTAGTACTTCCGTTCCAAAATTATTATTCAGTTTGAGATTCACTTTTAGCACAATTTGAATCAGAAATGAAAATCTAAACTGGACAATAATTATGGGACGGAGAAAGTAGCATTTCGTGTTACACTTGATTATAAAATTTAAGTTTAACAGAGTAAATTACTTTTGTAGTTGAGATGGTTTTGACTTTCGAGAGATGAAGAATCAGTGAGTGAGCATTAGAGAACTGACTATAGTAATTTGACTAGATTAGGAAGGAATTTTATTGTTATATTATTCTCTTAATAGTATTATTTTATATAGTTGAAATATGATATAATCGATTACCCAGAAAATGTACTATTAAATATTTATGTTTAGGCCTCTTATTTTGTATAAAAAATGGTCTTTTTTTAAAAAATAAAACCGAATGAGTAAATAAATAGATACCTAAGTAACTTTTATCAAAAGAAAAGATACGTGTATAAAATTAAAATGATGAGCAAACTAGAATTATGAAATAAAAAAAAAAATTGTTCTAGAAGATCGTTGCCCATCAATACAGCAGTATAATGGATCGTGCTGACGAAGAAGAATCCCATGTAACGTGAACAAGCAACAACCGGGACAAAATATCATATCTCATGTCTTCTCAATTATTCCAAGAAATATTGTAAAAAAATAAGGATTGAAGACGATCTCTATGCCCAGTACTTAGAATTGAATGCATAACCCAAAAGGGGGATAAAATGAAAGTATATTATGACATCGACAGCTCAGAAAATTAAATGCGATTCTCTAATCTCTACACCCTAACTATTTTATTGAATTAAAACTATACGATGAATCGGAATTCTTTTTTAAGATACATAATGGATATTATAATAAAGGTTGGCTCAAAATATTTGTTGCCTTTTTAATAAAATAGGATAATTAATGAGTGACGTTCAACAGGGACATCTAGTATAGTTTTGCACTTTTATTTTCACCAAGATTTTCATGGGGTTTAATTTTACATTTTGTTTGCTGTCACTTAGTTTTTATCATTTTGGATTTTCTTAGGGAAGATCGTAACGAGTTAGTGAAATGCACATTCAGGATAGATTTTCTCCTCATGACGTGTAAATGTCAATTACTACATGTGTCAACACAATTTTCCTGTTTATATTTTAACTTTGAATGCATCTTGAACTAGAAAAAATAAATATTCAAAATTATCAATCATTTCCGGACGGAAAAAAAGAATTGACTATCAACTTTGTCTAGCCGTTGACTGCCCGCGTGTTACTTGGATTCAAGAATAGAGGCTTCCGCTACATCATTTTTATAGAATCTACAATCTAGACCTCCATAAGTTTAACCTTGTTATTATGTTTAATCATGATTCACTTAAGAGTAAGAAAAAGCAAAATTCATACTATTCTACAAAATGTCAATATATGTTCATCGCGTTTTAGTGAAAAAAACTACATTAGAAATATAGCTTTATTAAACGAGAATCCCAGAGATTGAAAAATTTGACTAAAAGGCGGTAGAAATGGATAAATTAATAAATATGATATAACCCAAATGTATTTTTTTATTAAGAACAGTGGATATTTCGCTCAAAATCATAAAATTAAAACACTTTCACTTAGACATATTTGTCCTTATTATCATGAAACCAACTAGAATTTATTGATTATGATTTATGATTAGAATGAAGAGATATTTTTTGTTATTGATAGTTGATGGGGTGCTGCATGCCTAGCTCTAAACCAGCAGCAGCAGGTTGATATTTGCTATCCGAGAGCTACTGAGGAGGTCTTGGTCAGTGGAGCTGAATCACAATCATCGGGAGCAGAATTTGGCTGCGGATTCACTAGCAAGTTTAGCTGTTTCAATGCTAGGGGGTGTTCTTTGGTTTGAAGAGTTACTTTCGAGTTTAAAGCCTTGGTTACATCATGATATGGTTGGTGTTTCATATCAACGTGCTGTAATAATTTAATTTCGCTAGTTAGACAATGCCTTCTTCATTGTACTAAAAAAAAGAGTTTGGACTGATGCATTATGTTATCAGCACATAATGCATCAGCACATTAAGTTATCAAGAAATTCAGTGTGTCTGCTCTTATTGTTTTCTTTGGTAGGCAATATACTTGTTTGAACAAAAATTGTACTCGGATCGTAGAAAGGAGACAGAAAATAACCGAGTATAAAAATAAATCAGAGCGGCTGTAGATGTATTCAAAAACCGGTCTCAGACTAGAATCGAAGACTTAGAGTTCACTTCGGTTTAATTATAATAAGAAAATATAGAGAAAAAGTGGACAAGCCAAAGTGATGGCCTTGAATTGATTAAAGGTAGGAGAAAAAGAGATATATAGCGCCCACTAGCTATAGAGAGTATCGATAATGCGCTATTTCATAGAGAATCGAATTCACTGAAATAGAAAACGATAAACGACTACCTATTTCTATAAGAAAAATAGGCTAAAAACTATTTAATCTAGGCGAAACTAAGAAAAGCATGATAAATACATGAACAAAAGGAACTGAAAAAGAAAGAAAAATGAATAGTATCGATGATGATGAATTGAGGTGTGTGTTTTATGATGATGCTTTCGGTTTTGCTTAAATAGAGAAATAATCCTGTAATTATTGATTGTTTCCTTGAACCGAAATACTTACTCCATAAAAATAGGTTTTGGACGAAGCAGTGCAGTCACCTTCCACTTGCAACAGAACTAAAATCCTTTTCCTTTTTGATTAAGTTGACCAGCCATGTGATGTCTTCAAAATGGACTCCAATTCTTTGGCCCATTTCCCTAAATAGACCAAAAAAAAAGGGAAGAAAATTATATTTTAATTATTTTTTTGTGGTCCTGAAAACATGTGTCGGAAATGCGTTTTTCATTTTTTTAACTATAATTTAAAAAACGGATTTTTAATATCCGTTTCCTTATTTTAATTTTTAAAATAATTAAAATTGAAAAAAACAATTTCGCTCGGAATAAAAAGATAGAAAATATTAGGAAAAACGTTAAAAGGAAATTGAAATTCCGTTTTCTTATCAACCAAAAAACGGAAGACTCAATTCCGTTTTTCGTGTCATCCAATAAACGAAAAATGGGATTCCGTTTTCCTGTTATCAGGTTGTCAGCCGCATTATTGGTCTAACACTGATAATCTGTACGAATCACTGGTGCCGCAGGCTTTAATAAAAAAAACGGAATTGTAAAATCCGTTTTTAGGTTTATATATGAAGAAGAATTGACACTGTTAACAGATCTGGAAAGTTTTGAACGGAAAGAAAAAAATATGAAGAGGTCTGCAGTTTGAACCTGTTTTTTATGCCTAGAAATTGTTATCGTCAAGGATAGTATTGCGTTGATGTTATTTGTTTCCTTTAATCGTATTGTATTAAATTAATTAATTATTGGTCTTATTAAATTTGAATTAGAATATTCAGTATAAAAATATTGAATTTATTAGGAAATTCGATCTGGATAGTTATATTAGGAAATTTGGACTGTTTTTTGAAACATTGGATTGTTTATGAAAATTTAGACTGTTTTATTAGGAAAATATTGGACTATTTTTTTAAATGATGGATTGCTTATGCAAATCTGGATTGTTTTTTAAATGCTGGACTGTTTATGAAAATATGAACTGTTGTATTCGGAAATAACTGGACTGTTTATGCAAATATGGACTGTTTTATTTGGAAATGATTGTACTGTTTTTTAAATGCTGGACGATTTATCGAAACTTGTACGGTATTATTTGAAAATGATTATACTGTTTATGGAAATGTAGACTACTTTTTTAAGAAATATTATATTTATGACAGAAAAAATGGTATGGAATGGTCCATATTTTATTAATGTGTACTGGAGAAATAAATATGTTGTGGAAGATGGCACGATCAGAACATTTGATAACAGGGCAGATGCGACATTAGTTGTTGAGCGCAAGCTGTCGTATTCTGAGTTTTTGGGCAGAATTTGTGATAAAGCGGGTTGGGATAGAAATTATGTAAATCTGAGAATTAACTTGTTGTTTGAAAACAACGGTGTAAGACGAAGTGCAACAATTACGGACGACTCGTCAGTGAAAATTATTTATTATTTTTCAGGTTCATCATATTTGGAGCTGTATGTTGAAAATGAAGACACGGTGCATGCCCAAAATTTGTTAGATCTGTCAGGACAAAAACAGGATGTTACATTTGTGTCGCAACAGCACCAGCAATATTGGATGAATAATTCTCAACATGCAGAAGCAGGGCCTAGCAGGAGCGGCGGTGATGGATACATTACCGAGGGACATGGTGGGGGTCAAAATGATGACTATGATTCATCAGATGAGGATGATGCATCAGACAGGACTTATGTAGAAAGCGAAGAAGAAGTTGACTACCAAACTGATGTGTCTGACGAACCGACTTAGAAGAAGAAGAACAAGAAGCAGAAGCAGTGTAGAACTTAGTCACATCTGGTTTTGGTCAGTATGTTTATTCAGACATTGGTGATTATAAAAATAGTATACTGGATCGAGATGAATTTGAAGTTAAGATGTGAAAAGGTGATAGAGAAAACCTTGATTTGAATACCTGTTTCTACAACAGGGATGAAGTTGAGGCAGCTATCGAAGACTGGAACATATATCACAACAGGCAATTTTATGTTCTTGCTTCTGGACGTAAGACATGGGCTGCAGAGTACGCGACAAGAAGAATGCAAACTCCAATTGGACAATCTACTTGTGCGTGGAGGATGCATGCATCTTTGAAGCAGAATGGTCTGTGGCAAATTGTGTCCTGGGTTGTTCGTCACAATTGTGTTGGAATAACCAGACAAAATGACCATCGCAATTTGAGGTCGAAGTTAATAGCCAGACTTATCATGCGTAGTGTTGAAAATGATCCTGCTTTTAAGGTGAAATCAATCAGGGATGATGTGAAGGAAGCTTATAAGGTGGATGTGAAGTACAAGAAGGCATGGCATGCAAGAAGAAAAGCTATCGAAGCGTGTTATGGTAGCTGGATCGATAATTTCACGGAATTGCCCTTGTAAAACTTTAAAACTTATTATTTACGATATTAAGAAAATATTGAGCTGTTTTTCAAATGTTGGAATGTTTATGCAAATCTCGACTGTTTTGTTAGGAAAATACTGGACTGTTTAGGGTTATGCTGGACTGTTTATTCAAATCTAAACTACTTGTTGGTGCAAATGCACACTGTTATAATTCTCGGGTTATTGGACTGTTTATTGGACTCTTTTGTATTTATGATAGATATAATATGGCTGCACTACAGAAGTCTAATCCCAACACAGTTGTTGAGTGGAAATGGCAGCTCGGGACTGAGAATGATGAACATTGGGTCTTCAAATATGTTTTCTGGACATTTGGTCCTTCCATTGTGACCTTTCATATGTGTCAACCTGTTGTGAGTATTGATGACACACACCTTCGCGGTAAGTACAAGGGTAAGCTTCTTGTAGCAATGGTGAAAACTGCTAACAACCATATCCTGCCCATTGCTTTTGCAATTGTAGATGAGGAGAGTGAGGACAGCTGGTCATTTTTTCTCTGTAATTTGAGGCTTCATGTTGTACACGACAGAATCACGTGTCTTATATCAGATCGACATAAGGGGATAATCAGTGCACTGAAAAATAATGTCGATTTGTGGCTTGAACCATATTTTGGATACCACAGGTATTGTCTTCGACCTGTTCGGAGCAACATGGTGGCGAAACACAAAAAACAAATTGTGCGAACCAATCTGGTGTGCTGAAAAATGGGCAAAAAGCGGCAAAATCACAAGTTTCTAAAATTTCAACAACAACTGAGAGAGTGCAATGAAGCAGGTCTTGCTTATATGATGGCTATTCCGAGGGGGAGGTGGAGTCTTGCCTACGATCAAGATTATGCACGTTGGGGCATGTTGACAACAAATATATCTGAGAGTTACAACAATGTTCTGAAGGGTGTTCGATTTTTATCAAGTAGAGCTGTGGTGGAATCGACTTTGGCGAAGACAATTAAGTTCTTCTGTGATCAGTATGCAGATGCCTTGAAGTGCAATACTCCTATCGGAGATAAGTATTGGAAGAAATTCTGTAAGTATGAGAATACAGCAGCAACTCACAAAGTGGAGCTGTATGATTGCCAGAACCAAGTGTATGAGGTCATTACAGGTTGGCGTCATATAGGGAAAGGTGGAAATGAACACAAAGAAGAATACAGGGATTGGTGTTGTTCATGCAAGAAGTGGCAGACTTACAGGCTTCCTTGTTCGCACGCATTGGCTGTATGTCGGTGGATTGGTGATCACTCAGAAAACATAATACATGAATATTATAAGACGAGCACATGGCGTGAGAAATTTTGTCATTCTAGGTTTGTTCCCGTCCCAAGAAGAGAAGAGTGGGTGTCTCCAGGGTGGAACTTTGTTCCTGATTATGTCAATCTAGTTCTGTATAATGCTGTAGGTCGTCAACAACAGTGGCGATTCTTGATGTCTATGGATTATATGGGCAGGGGTGGATGCAGGAGATGTAGGAGATGCGGCAGTCGAGATCATTTAACAAGGTAATGTCATCGTTCGCACCGCATAGCTGATCGGACTAGATTGGAAGTCAACTGGGACGCAGATGGTTTCAAAAATGTTGAAGAGGACTGAATCCCTCCGTTCTGTTTGGATGTATTATTGTTATCTTAGTTGGATGTTTGATTCTGTTTGTGTAATAGATGTATTTGGATGATCAATTTGGTTTTTATTTTGATGTATTATTTTTATCTTAGTAGGATGTTTGGTTATGTTTGTGACAACTATAAACTGTAATATGTGTTTAGAGTATTATTACAGGTTTTGTGGAAAACATAAAGTAATAAAAACGGAATTTGAACATCCGTTTTAAGGCAAACATAACAACGGAATTTGAACATCCGTTTTTAGTCTGTATAAAATCCAACAAACTAGTCCTGTGGATCATTTTCTTCTCCATTACTAAGAAAATGTCAAGTTGGAGCAGCAGCAACAACACCAACAACACCATTTATCTGCGTTACAAGGCATTTTTTTGTCCGTTATGCGGGAATAAGTGTAAATTTATGTTATCTAATATGCCCAAAAATCCAGGCCGTCTTTTCCACTATTGTTCTATTCACCATTTTCAGGGTTGGGCAGAACCAGTAGGAAACAATGCTGGGAGTAGTTTCATTGACAACGGGCAAAGGAATGCGACTATTAATCACGGGTGTAGAAATTGTACCGGCAACAATGAATCAAATCTTTATTTTCTCAATTTAACATGCTTAGGTTGTATTTTTCTTGTTCTAGTTATTTTATTTATTAGACGTTAGGGTTTCATTGTATGAATTTATGGTTTGCAAGAATTTAAAAGAAAATGTAGTTTTTTAATTTGTTTAAGTCCTGGTCTCCTTAAAACGGATAATTGAAATCCGTTTTAAGCAGTCCAGGTGCTGGTCTCCTTAAAACAAATTTAAGATATCCGTCCGTTTTGAAAAAACTAAAACGGATATTGTTAATCCGTTTTTATTAAAACGGATCTTTAGTCAAAAGTGCATCTTTTTCCCCTTTCTTTTTGCTTCTTCCTCCCCGTCCCCGACCCGACTTAGCCCTAATTTTGCACCGGCCACCATCTCCAGTAATTATTGCCCTAATTAGGCCATTCCTTCCTTTTTCTTTTTGTAAGCTGCCTCTTACAATTAATTAGGCCATTCCTTCCACTTTCTCCGGTAGTTCCAGATAATTATTAGACGTTCGGGAAGGGAGTGAGGGATGTTGTGAAGCAGAGCATTTTCAATGAGGATTCTGTCATTGTCCAGAAGGTGAAGGGACCGTGTGGGCTAGTCTGTAGGAAATTGAGGTTCTTGAATGAGTACTTGCCTGAGGATCGTGATCTTGTTCATTCCTGGACTGCCATTCTTCTCATTTTGCTTCTAGCATTTACCAGTACTGGCTGTAGTTTTTGTTCCTTTGTTTGTTGGTTTGATGTTTTGTGCTTTTGAGATTATTCTACTGTGATTCCGAGCCTTGTAAGGAAGTTCAAATTAGTTCACTATCACAATTTCACGGCATTTGAGTATGGGAACCACACTGTTTATTTGAGTGAGAAACAAAACTTGTAACCATGAAAATAATAGGTTTGATGTAGGATTAGTAGGATGCAGCTGGTTATTGAATCTCCGATACTGCTTTCTCCACAGTGGCCCTGGTATACTGCTTTTGAGGGCTAGATACCAATGTTAAGTTTGCTACATATGTTAATAGGCTTAGTTTTGGACCTTGTTCTTATTGTTGTTGCCTGCGTGTACTTCTTCTCAAATGTTGGTGTTGTATCCCATGTAATCTTTCTTGTTTATGAAATTTGGAGGTTTAGTAGAATGTCAACAGGCAGATCGTTTAACAGTAGAAGTATTTTTGTACATGTGTGTTACTTGTTCACTCTTGTATCAACCACAGGGATGACATGCCTGCTTGTTTAGTCTGTATATTGAACGATGCATTTTTGACCACGTTGATGTCGATTTTTGTTCTTGCAATTATTCTGTTTATGGTCAAACCTTGCATGATATATCTTAGAATTTTCCAGTTAAGGGCCACTTAACTTGTTCTTTGCTTCGACTCTATAGTATCCATAGATGAATGAAATACATATAGTACAGTACTTACTGGTAGATTCATCAGAAGATTGAAGGTTGCTTCTCATTGACTAAGGTCTCTAAGTGATGAAGATAATTTTTCTAAAATAAATTGTCTAAACTCACTGGTTTAAGTTCTCAGTGGACCATACTAATAGCCTTTTTTGGTTTTTGCAGTAATATGACTAGTTCTTCTTCGTCGCAAGCCCCAAAATTCACAAATAAGGGTCCGATCGACTCTACACTTCTTTATCTTCAGGGTGATCATCGATCTGATGTCGTTTGGAACAGTGAGCTGAGATTCATTTATGAACACCATAAGTGTTGACGATTTGATAATCTACTTTGGAAGCTGTACGCAATGACCAATGACATAGTTAAAGCTTACGTGGCTAAAATGAGTTTTGGATACTTCCTCGAGATGGGTCTCATCCGATTAGACAACTCCCTTGTGACAGCATTGGTTGAAAGATGGCGGCCTGAAACACATACATTTCACTTCCCAATGGGGGAAGCAACAATTACACTCCAAGATGTCGAAGTTCTTTTGGGACTGAGAATTGATGGAAACCCTGTAACTGGCCAAGATTCGCCACCAGCTAGTTGGGTTCCAATGTGCCAGGAGCTTTTGGGATTGACACCCAAATTGAAAAAAGGGTCCAACCAACTTATAATCACTTCGCTGGCAGATGAGTGTAAGCAAAAACTTCCAGCAAATGTCTCAGATGATGCCTGCCAGAAAAGGGCTCGGGTTTTTGTTCTGTGAGCACAACCAGAAATACTGTGCCTTTGCTTTATTTGCCCTTACTAAAGGATTTTAAGTCTTGTAAAAAACTAAGTTGGGGGAGTGCATGTCTTGCGGTGTTGTATAATAATCTTTGTAAAGCATCAAAAAGGACAAAATGGGATATAGGTGGATGCCTAATTCTTTTGCAGGTAGAAGTCGATTTACTTTATTTTTTCCTTTTATGTATAACAGTTTGTGTTCTTTTAACCTAACATGTGTTCGTTTACAGATTTGGGCTTATGAGCGAATCCCAAGGATTCGCCCCATGAGGAAAAATCTGGAAAACGACGATCACACCTTGGCCTTGGGTTCAAGATGGAGGTGTTCATTGGATTTTTCGCAGGTGGCCTCTCACTGTCTCCCAGCACAACGAGATCAACTCGCAAGCCTTAGGAAGGTTGAAGATGTAAGGGTTTCTAATTTTATATTTGATTAAATTCTTTTTGAATGAATTTGGACTTAATGAATATATGGCTTTTGCACTATTTTCATAGAAATGTGGTTCAGTTAATACGCTACTTTACAAATGCACAAAGAAAGCTGCCTCTTTTCTTTTTTTAACAATCTGTTATAATAAAGCAAATTAGGCCATTCCTTCCTTTTTCTTTTTGTAAGCTGCCTCTTACAATTAATTAGGCCATTGCTTCCTTTTTCTTCCATTCTTTCTATTATCTTAAAATTTCATGTGTGTGTGTGTGGGGGGGTGGGTGGTTCTATGCAACAGAATTGTCCCTCCCAGACAACAAAAAAAAGAAAAAAAATAGCATTTTCTTTTTTATTCTGTTCCTTTTGGCAAAATGTCTCCATTCCTTTTGTATTCAGTTCTGACAGCCTTGATTGCATGTTCTGTTTTTTATTTCAGTTTATTTGGCAACCTTATGAAGGAGTGGAGATACCTGAAAGATGTACACGGGGTCGGGATCATTGGCAATCCAACACTTGGCTAATTTGCTGGGATATCGTTGAACCGCATCAAGTTGACCGTGTGATGAGACAATTTGGCTTGAAACAATTGATCCCCCCACAACCAATGATTGCTGGTTTCGAAGAATGGGAAAAGTTGCACAAGTATGGTAGGACTGGAAGAGCTGGAAACAATTGGGAGTTTCATCATCGTGAATACATCGAAAAATGGAACAACAGGGTGGACTTTATTGTGGCTGGGTCTCCGAGTGGTCAATCCTCAACCGATGATGATTATCTCCCCTGGTATGAAACTAATACCATCAAATTTATCAAGGATCCCAATAAGTACAACTTTCAGGAGGAAGGGTATCGTGAACATTCGTATCGTGCAAAATACTATGTAAGTATTTTTCTTTTTATCTCTAATATTCTTTTTTTTTTTAAGGCTGGTTTCTTTTTTTTCTTGAGAATAACTGCATTCGCATCTTCATTGTGCTCTGATTTGTATGATTTGTTTGTGGCATCTTAACTATATGTATGATTTAGGGTGTTGTAGTTTACATGTTCTGCACTTTTTTGTTGGTGCTACATGGTGGTATATTCTATAGAAATGGTGTTGCACTTGTGGATCCATGTTGTTGTTTTCTGCTTTCAAGTTCCATTTTCAAATTGTATTTTAAATTGTAAACTTGTAATTGCTGTTAAAAAGTACGGTGGTCTATGTGCAAGATTAAAAAAAAAAAAGTCTAGCAACCTTATCTTTTCAGTTTTGTGCAAGATCCATTTCAATCCCCCTTGAATGGGTCTAGAAGTTTTTCAGTAAATTTTGGTGATTTTTGTGTTTTTAGTAGTTTCATATTAATTGTACGTTGTTAGTTCATCTTTCATTTTAGTGTGGGTTGATTTATGCTCCTTTTCACATGAATTTTCAGGCTGATGCATTGAGCGATACCTGCAAAAAGGTAGAAGACTACAAGAAATTAGAAGATGTCTGCCAAAATTCAGTTTGTATGAATATCCTTCTTGAACTCACTTCTCATTCTATGAATGCTTTATCCCTTGGAGCACATAAGATGCCAATTTTGAAACCCACACAATCACTTGTTGATCTTCAACCACAACCTTCTCAACCGGTTGGCAAAATTCGCAAATGAAACATTCCTCACCGTGGGATTGGAGGAGGCAGGCAGAAAATCATTGAAGAAGAAGAACCACAAGATGATCGTGGGATTGGAGGAGCCAGGCAGAAAATCAAGGAAGAAGGAGAACCAGAATTTGATTTTGAACTCAATGCTGACTTGTTTCAAACTCCAACCCCCCAGAATCAGGACGAAGCCAACCAAGAAGGTGAATCTACAAATCTGGATGTGGATGTGGATGTGGAATCTAGTTTACCTTTGGCGTTAGCAAGACCGCGTAGAAAAATAAAGAAAGTCAATCGCTACACGCCATCCACTGCCCAACCCGAGCCACTGCTAGAGGAGGAGGAATTGTAATGGCTTCATTTTGTTGATAATCTATTTTTGATGAACGTTTTGTGATGTAGTCTTTTATTTAAACATGTTATAATTGTAATATTTTGTTAAATTGATGTGTGAATTCAAGGGTTATGTTGAGTTGAGACTGCTGTTGGTGTTGTTTTGGTGCTGTATGGTAACTGTTTTTCAACAGGTTTGCAATTGCAGACCTTTTCTGTTTTTTTTTTTTTCTGTATACAGGTTTAAAAACGGATTTCAACATTCCGTTTTTCGTTCAAAATACTTTCTTAAAACGGATTTTAGATTTCCGTTTTGTATTTCTAATAAAAAATCATTTCACATTATACTGGGACAAATTCGATAAAAATTGGTAAGTGAAAAACGGAATAAAAGTTTCCGTTTTTGTTAATCAAACAAATTATAAAGTACTAATTACAACTAATTCTTAAAAGATGGAATTTGAAAATCCGTTTTATGAACATTACATGTAAATACGGAAATGCTATTTTTGGCAAATATTTTTTCTGACCACTCCCTCAGACAGCTATATTTTAATCGACTCCTATTTGGGACATATTTTGGGGTTTGACACCCAATTCTTTATTCCTTTTTAGAGAAGAAATAGCCAGCAAACTCCATTTACTACGTGAAGCCATTAGAAGTTGTAATCAACTTCACTATAAATTGCTAATGAAGTCAACCCTCGGTCCATATACACTCCAATTAAACCAAAAATATATTTTTGGTGCTAACAATACTACTCTAGCTTGTAAGGGTTATGTTAAAGAGTTTTGTCAATTAATATGATTAAGGCTTTTGCTGAAAGGATGTGGGAGAGGGTTTTCGCGTAGATAATAAGGGCAAATATGTAAGAAGAAAAGTGTTTTAATTTTACTGCTTTAGACAAAATATCTATTGTCTTTAATAAAAAGTAATTTTTGATCATTTTGTTTTTTTATTAATCCCTTCATCTCCATCACCCTTAGCCAAATTTTCCCAAAGTCTACATACAATAAGAAATTTTTGATAATACAACTGTTTTTTTTTTTATGTCACAATGATAACACCTGAAAAGAAAACATGTACAAGCAATGAAAATAACCACTATACGACGTGGCTATATTGACAAGTCATAAATAGATAAAATAAAATCTTATTGCAAGTGAGGGGCAGAAATCAGCATAAGAACCTAGATATTTAGAATTTGGCTGGTTTAGTTCATTCACCACTACAAAATCATCTTCGCAAGTAACCTCAATTGAAGTAATATGACAGTTAATTAGTGAAGAGAAATAAATAAATTCTATTTAATTACTAGAAATCCAGAAATAACACACAACTTATATAGTTCGGACAAAGGACAATTTGTCTTGATTGTCTTGGTTATGCTTACTGTGGATGAATCTTTATCGATTTTATCCACAAAAATTATGGATTTGCCTCCACGATCCAAAATCCAACACTCAATCCTCCAATGATCTTCTCAAACTACGTACATACTCATGGCAAATCGAAGAACAGTGTAGCAACTATATCAACAAAAGTAAGAATATTGCAACTAAAAGCCCTGCCTCTCACAAAGAATAAAAGTAAACTAGCTACGACTTAGTAAACTATGCTACTTACAAAGGAACAACTTTCAAAGACATAAATAAAAGGAGGCACAAGAAGAAAAAAAGAAAATTAAACTATTTCTTCCTCATCCAAGGGAAAAGTGTGGGAAATTAGTGTTTGTAAGAGTTTGAGACCGAGCACGCGCTAGTACTTCATGGTTTGATTCAACAATAATGTTGTTGATGTTAGTTCCAGAACCATCATGAGATTTCTTCAACATTAATTCCGATTCATGAGCCCTAATGAGCACATTGTTGGTCAATTCTTCCAAAGCGGCACAGTATTCCTCAAGCTCCTCCAATCCCATATGTTCAATATTCTCTTCTTCCCACCAAAAATCATTCCCTTTTTCTTGTGACTCCAATTTCTTCTTCTCAATTTCCAGCTCTTCACAAACGCTATTGTACTCTAGACGAAGCTCATCAATCTCGGTGGTTTTCGCCAAACTAGTAGTAATATTATTCCTCGACGATGAGGTTGACGATCCCTCGGTGAACCGTTGGATCACGCTGTCAACATTAGGGTGGCCGAAAGCGTGAATACGCTTGCCGGAAGAGTCCGCGATGATGGCGGTTTCGGCGCCTGTTAGTATGCAAAGTTCGCTCGCTTTTCTGAACAGGCCAGCACGTCGCTTCGTTAGGGTTACTAGTCTATTGGGAACTTTTTCGATTTTCTTGATCTCGATCTTCCTCTGGCCTTGAGTTTTTTTCTTCTTCTTACCTTCGGAGGAGTTGTTATTAGGGTTCACCATGATATTGCGCCTTATTTGGTATGGATTGTTCTAATCGGATAAAAGAGGCTCGTGAATTCCTGGAGGTTTATGTACAAAAACATGAGGGGAAACTTGGGTATTTATAATGTCACACTTTCCAAAATCTTTAAACTCAAATTTCCTCTTTCCATAAAATTTGACCGAAATTCATGAAAAAAAGAAAAAGATTTTGTTCCAGATTACCTAATAAATTTGGGTTTTTCTTAACCTCAGTCACATTGTGAATACCAATTATAATATAGGGATCCTAAGTACACCTAGCAAGGTGTACCTAGAGTGAAACTCACGCGACCAAAAAAAGGAGAACTCCCAATATTTATAACAATACCATCCGAGTGTTTACACGCGCCCATTAATACCCCCATTATGTGCGATTTTTTTATTTTCAAATCTTGATAACCACCATTATCTCCTAATTTTCAGCCATTATTGATGATCCAACATTACATTCGATCTATTCCATTACTCCCCAAATCAGAAAAAAAAACGAAACCCCAAAAAATCAATCCTGCGGCGATACATTCAGAGAAGCTACCATCGGCGGGACTTCCGAAGTCTGAATCGAATCGTTCATTAAAAACGGTAATTCTGATTACAAGTTACAATACTGAAGATGAGGATTAAGGTGTATTCTAGTCAAATTCATCAATTTTTCTGTGTTTATCCATTGTTGTTTGATTCTAGTTTGATGAATGTTGTTTTTTCTTAAAATATTCATGTAGATGCCTATGGCTGAGGATTCCGAACCGAGTATGAGCAAATCGGAGGATGAAGGGGAAGCGAGGTAATACAACTACTCTCTTCAATCATTGGTGTGGTTTTTTTGTTTGGGTTAGGTAGATCTAAAGTATGTTCACTCAATTAACGATGTTTGTTCATTAATTTTAGAGATATGTTCTTCGATTTTTTTTTTTTGGTAAATTAGAAGATTTGAGAATTATTCACCAGTTTGGTATAATTAGTCATTGTTGAAATTATCAGATTCATCGTTTTCATAAATATTGAAATTATCAGATTCATCAATTTTAGAGTTTTGTTCTTGTATTGGATGTTATTTTTCTGGTAAATTGGTAGATTTGTGTATTATTCATCAGTTTTGGTATAATTATTCATTGTTGAAATTGTCAGATTCATCGTTTACCATAATTATGTAGTATTTTTTTTTTGGTAAATTATTAGCTCTTTGCATTATTCATCAGTTTGGTATAATTATTCATTGTTGAAATTGCTAGATTCATCGTTTACCATCACTATGTAGTATTATTTTTTTAGTAAATTACTAGATATTTGTATTATTCATCAGTTTGGTATAATTATTCATTGTTAAAATTGCCGGATTCATCACATCTGACAAGTTATTCATGGAATTTGTAAATATATTGTAACATGAGTGATGAATATCAGACACAATCTGAAAGAAGCATGAGCAAAGAACAACATTCAGAAGCCAAAAGAAGCAGGATATCTGAATCTGCAAAATATCAAACCACAATAAGTGTAGATATTGCTATGGAGGGTTATTCATCAGTTTGGTATAATTATTCATTGTTGAAATTGTCGTATTCATCAGTTTAGTATAATTATTCATTGTTGTATCACACCTACCTCTTGAATTTTTTACTCCTTGTTTGTTACATGCAAATTGGTTCCAATATACAACACCAGATTTGGACATTTTCCAATCTTTGAACTTGTTTATTGAAAAAACAATGCGCTTTGTGTAAGAATTATAAGCAACAAAAGCCTCTTCCTCATAGCAAAACATCGTCCAATTAGTTAACATAAGATATTCATCGTAAAATCGTAATAATATAATACACCATCGGTCAAAAAATAACAATGAACACCCTGTTCATCAATAACCATACATTACGCATTACCTTACGCAACGAGCGACAAGAAGAAATCTAGTTTTTAAAAAATAATCTCATAAAATAAAATAATATAAAAGCTAACATGATAGCATTAAAAAGGATAACATTTGAAATTAAACATGTGCTAAAAAAAGGGATCAAATTTGGAAGAATTAATTCACGTAATTAAAATTTAGAGGAAAAAAATGGATAACATTTGATCACGTAATTAAACTGATAATTTGCATAATAAATGCGCGTGTGGACTCCTTTTTTTCGGACTCATTATTCTAATTTCTCTTCCCCCATGTGTAGTTCACGCACTGCCTAAGTACACCTTGAATCTTAATATTATTTGCCTTTTGAATAACATAAAAGCTCAGGAAGAGATGAAGCATATTTTTCGTTAGTCGAATTTTTTTTAGAGTAAAAGCGCTGTTCCATATGCAATAAAATGTTGATTTTTTTAATACATAATTTGAATATAAAACTGTAAGTATCTTCAATCTGATCATGTGTGACAAACACTTGGGAATTGATATCCTTCCCCTTCTCGATCTACCAATGATTTCTGGGTTGCATAGATATTTTTACCTGCAAGAGTACGCAGGTCTAATGTTGTAGAAAGTGACTTGATCACTAAATAAACTTTAATTTGGAGGGCAAGCCAGGCACTCACTGAAAGGAAGAACAAAGGCAGAGGATTTACCAAAAATGGTGCAATCTTATTCGTGTGCTTCCTTCTTTCCCATAATTTTTAGTGTAGTTCACTTCTTCTTCTTCTTCTTCTTTTGGTTATTTCTTCTTTCTCTTCGTGTATTTAGTAGTTCTCACCCAAGAAAAAAGACCATATAGGTTCGTCAAATTGCAGTTCACTATCAAGGTTGGATTTCTCCTTTAGATACATCATTTAATAGTAGAGTATATAAGTAGGACTTGATTGAAAAAGACTCCCTCTTCCTTTAAAAGATTATGTTAAAACTCTTGCTTGGTTCTAGAATTCCTACCTCAATCTGAAGGTAATGTCTTAATACTATTAAATTTTAATCACCTAGTTATTTTTCAACTTCACATTGTGGGTTCTTTGAACTTTTCAAAAACTTCATATTTATTTTTCTAGTAAAGAGCCTTTTGTCATTTTTACCAAATAAACAAGATTCCTAATCAAATGAACCCAAAAATTAAAAATAAACACTAAAAATAAGATCATCTGTATGAAATTTTTTTATGCGTTTCTCATTTATATGACCACGTCTACAATGCTTAGGACTATTTAAGATCATCAATTTATATTTTGAAGTAATTAAGCTAGAAAAATTAAATTTCAATCATCCATTACATAGATGAAGCCAAGTTGGTGACCTCCTTATTTCCATTAGAGCGTTTTCTATAATTCTTTATAGCCATGATGATCAATAGAGTCTCAAGTACTGCAGCCGCAATCCCCACTGTTACGCCTAATGATACGATGATGATCAAGTCTGTGTCCCATTTTTCAATACTGCTGTCCAGATTGAAGTCTAAATCTGAAGACAATTCCCATGAATAGACAAAATGTTTCTCAACATAGATTCCTGTTGCAGCTGAAAATCCAACCATGACCCTTCGAGGAAGGATCTCCTTCAAATCCACGAGATAAGAAATACTGGAATTCGGGTTCGATCCGTAACTCCAATACACGCTGAGATTCATTGCGGAAGAATTGTAAACAATCCAGGCGTTACCAATTTCTGACCTATGCAAGCTAGCGTTCCAGGGAGCTGTGACTTTGGAAGCAATGGAATTGATGTTGATACCCACATGCTCATAATTTGGATCCCATTCAGTATCCGGATTTGAATCAAATTCGACAGACACAATTCCATTGCGGGAAGAATTGGAGGTTCTGGTGTTGAACAATCCGAGGAAACCACCGCCTGAATTTGGAGGGATTTGGAAACAAAAAGGCGCGAGAAAGAAGGAAAGTCCATGTCCATATCTGGTAGGAACAGAGTCCCCTGTGTCGATTCGGAAGGTGAAATGTGTAGTGAAATTCGCTACTTTCCCAGTGTCTGAATCCCAGATGGGAATTGAGTTGGAATAGACTGCTTGACCAACTCGATACAGGTAGTCCACCCTGTTGAATTGGATTGATCCAGCTTCAGGCGTCGCATCTCCGTCGTATTGTATATCCATCAAGTCGGGGTTGAAACTGGTAATGTTGAAAGAAACAGAATTGGCTGATGGAAGAAGGATTGAAACATAATAGATGAGGAGGAAACAAGAAGTGCTGATTTTGCTGAATGAAGAGTATGAATTAGAAATGGCCATGAAATGAAGCTGTTTTTTTCAAACTGGCGATGATGATGATGGTAAGGGATGAAGAATAGACAAAATTTTAGTGTGAAAATTGTGGAGACGGAGAGTGGTATTTAAAGAAAGTACAAAAGGCAGATATGATATTTTTTGGGGGGAAGATTATTCGTGTGCTTCCTTCTTTTCTAATTTACCGGGCTGGTGTAGTTTACATTTTTCTTCTTTTGGTTCTTTCTTTTTTTTTCTCTCTCTTCGTAAGTTAGTGGTTTGCCACAAAAAAAAACTACTCCCATCGTCTCAAAATGTTAATCCAGTTTTTGCACTAATTTTAGTAAAAAACTGGGACAGGACAATGGGGTGGATTGATTTTATTTTGCAATTTTCTCAGTGCGGTTTTCCATGATTATGATAGTGATTGCAACGCTATGTGAGACGGTAATTCCAGCGCTTTGGTAGCTTAATCATCGCATTTAAGGGTTTTCGTTTGTTGAAATGAAATGCTAATGCTTTGCTTTTATATCAGAAGGCTTTTTGCCAGAAAATGTGTGAAGCTCACATGAGTCACATTCACTTAACATTCGAAATACTGTGTACAATTAATTGCCTAATTTTTTTTGAAAAGGTAATAATAATCTCTATCTCTATTATATCTTTATTATCTTTATATATATTAAAAGAGAGTTTTCAATCGGACACGTAGCGCAAATTTAGATGGGTTAATCCACATGGTAAAAAATTAAGTACCCAAATCCACATGTTGTATCCACATCACTCCATCATTTAATGAAAACTTTTTATTTATAAATCTGTAAATTTTAAAAATAACTTATTTATAGATTACATTACATTACATTACAAAAACGTAATATATTACAAAAACTAAAAAATTCAATAATGGGCCCGAGGCTTGATTTTTATTTCTCAACTTCTTCTAACGGGCATTCAATCATAATAGTACGTAAAAAAATTTCTAAATGATAAGTAAGGATACTGCGGGCCTTAATTTTCTAAGGGATTTACTACGTAAAATTTAAATTTTTTACTTTTGTTTAATTCTTTTTGTACTTAATTTATATCTTTCAAATTCACCATTCGAAACTTAATTCCAATTTCGACCTTTGCCAAGAAGATGTCGAGATCATGTAGCTATTTGAATTGAGCTCCCTTTTTTTCTAGAGAGAACCTCCTCCTTCTCTCTAGAAAACACCCTTCCTTCAAAATTTCTTTCTCCTCCCCCATCCACCATTATGGTGGATGGTGGAGCTCAATTCTTTTACTATGTTTTCTAGTTTTAGTTTTGCTCTTTCCTTATGTGAAAGTTTTGTCCTCTCTTTATAGGGTATTGTTCTTCCCTATGGAAGTTTTGGTTCATCCCATTTCGAAGAGCTTTTTTCTTTAGATGTACTTTTAGTAGGTTTTCTTCAACAGATCTGAACCAGAAAAAGAAGATACACAGCTCTTTGAAGAAATTGAAGAAAGATATGAGGTTAAATGATTTTACAAATGAATGATCTTTATAGATCTGAGACTTCTAGCCATATAGATCTAAATTATCGATTTAGATATGGAGTTTTAGTCCCTTCTGAGCGATGTTTGGATTTCATTTGTAACAGTGTATTATTATCCTCTTTATATTTCTTGAGTTCTTGGAATTTTCTTACTCTGTCATTAGAAATGTTGCTACAATTTAGCCAGTTTAGCTTAGCCTAGGATTAAACACAGGGTTGGGATTGTCCGTCTCTTCTTCTGTGACTAGGTTTAGCGCGTAAAGCGAATTGTAATATCTCAACCGTAAGTTGTTGTAGCTCAACACACTGGTTGTACTTGCTTATTTTCTTTATATATGATTATCACTTTTGACAAAAAGATCATGTAGCTATTTGAATTTCATTGAGGAGATATGACATATTCGTTTATTACATGGCAGTGTAGCTATTTATTATTCATTTATTACTCTCATGTATGATAAGTAAGAAAATATTCAGATTAAAAAAATATTAGAAAGTATATTTTCAGTTGTGCGGAATCAAAATTGTATCATTGTAGTTAAGAGAATTGAACGTCATACGGGTGCTAAATTTTTTTATTTTTTATTTTTTTTGTCTTTTCTTTGCCTATGCATTTTTGGAATTTAAGAATGACATGCAATTTTCATCAATGAATCTTCTAATGTTAATGAAGAAGTAATCTACAGCAAGATATAAAAAAAATCTATTAGATGGTTCATTATATTTTTTCCATATGATATAATGGTAGAAAAAGTTAGCGATATAATGAAATAACAAAATGTAGAGATCGAGGGGGAGAATTTTTCAAAATGAGAAAAAGAATAGAAGTCTTTATCAAATATAAAAACTAGAAAAAAAATATATTGAGAAATTAAAAATAATTATGATGACAGTAAAATATATACACTTTTAGCAGGTATTTTCTACTAATTTTTATTTAGTATTAGGTGTTAATTAATTAGAATTAGTTTACTTTTGGATTGATTTTGTATTTCAGGGTAATCAAGGGGCCAATGTCGAAAATCAACATAAATGAGGGTCAAATTGCACAAAAGAGCATCATCCTAGACTGAAATGGAAGCTACTGGAAATCAGGCTGTTGGAGGATCGATCAGAGCTAAAGAAAGTGGAGAAATCCTTGTTGAAGAAAGAAGAATGGCAGCAGATAATCACAACTTGGAAGAATCTGCAGCAGCACACTCAATTGAGAAGAAGAAGGGCAGCTGTTCTGCTGTCAAGTTGCTGCTGCAGGAGCTGTTGCTGATGTCAATCAAAGAGGAGCTACGAACTGAAATCTGGGTGCCCAAGGAAGGAAATTGCTTTGCTATCACTGCAAGTTGTTGTTGCTGCAAGTGGAAGAAGAGAAAGAGGGAGAATATGTGAAGAACTGCAGCTGCAACTCTGTTACTTACCAACTGATACTGCTGTTGAATTGATGGATTGGCTGTTACAAAAGGGTGAGCAATGATATAACAAGTGACTTAGGAAACAAGGAAGAAAAGGGCCAAAGATTAAAGCTGAATTGGGGGCTGGAAACACAATAATAGAAGAAAGCATGCTGCTGATGCTACTGCTTGCTGACTGCTGCAAATTGAGCTGTGAGGATTAAAGAATGAAAAAATAGAAATTTGTGGCTGTAAATGGTGAGAATGCATCGGAGAAGAAGACTAAGGAGAAGAAGTAATGATGAGTAGAAGGTGGCTGATTGCGGCTGAAGAAGGAAGGAGCTGACTCGAGAAGACAGCAATTTGCCAATTGGTCAAGTTGCTGAATAAACAAATGCCTTCAGTTGTTGCAACTTGCTGTCTCCTCCAATCTGCTACAAGGAAGGCCAGAAATCCACTAATCCAAGCCTCTCCAAATCTTTATAAATAGTCAGCCAATAGCAGTAGTTAAAGAGGACAGATTGGGTTGTTAGAATCAGTTACAAAGACAGTAGTTAAGTAGTTAGTTGGTTAGAAACAGGGTAGTAGCAAGAATAAGAGTGCAAACTGTCACTCTGTCAAATGGTGAACGCCACTCGCCAAAGTGAGAAGATAGTAACTATCCCTGCTACCATCTTTCCCTTTTATCCTCTAACCTTTTGATCTTGAATATGTCTTATCTTTTGCACTTCGTTGCTCTCATGTTTAACTCAATAAACATGAGTATCTAACTCAATTAAGGGTTCAATCTCTACTATTTTTATATGAAGGTTTTGATTCAGTTTTCCTTGATGAGACATTGTTTTTAGTTTAAGTGCTTTAATTAATTTTTTGATTAAACTGGCCACTTAATTAATTGTGCATGCATGTTATGGAGATCTGAGAGGGCAAACATAACTAGAACGGTTTAAATTAGTCTATGACAAAAGTGGAAATCTACCATTTGCTTTCAATCGTTAATGAAAGTTAGGTGATTGGCATAGGTGATGAATAGGGCTTAAGAACTCAATGGCTTAGATTAATCTTGACAATCTGACTGAGAGGTAGATCATTTAGTAATCTAGGACTCTTTATGCTATCTAAGAGGAATTGCAAAGAATAAATGTACCGAATCAAATAATAAATCATACACTACATGATTATTTGAATCAAAACTCTATCATAAAGGGAGGAGGGTGATTGAACCTTCTGTCTCTTCACTCTATCAAGTGAATATTCTCACTCTCCTAAGTGATAAATCTGTTCAACTCTTTTACTGTTCTTTTCTTGCACTTTAATCAGATTTTGAGTGGTTGACTGTCATCTCTGTGGAACGACCCTACTTACCACTAGATAATAATTTTAAGTAGGTTTTATAAATATTCTATTGCGGGTGAAATCAACAACGGTCCATTTCGACCACCAAATTATAAGGAGGAAAAAATTATGCAGAGAATAAGAGGATATGAAAAAAAATAGATAATAGTGAAAATTGTTGTTTGGATGGAAAACTTAAAAGATATGAGTAACATGGGTAGAAATATTCAGAGAGGCCCTTATAAAAAATATTAAGAAAATACTTTTAATATATATAAAGTCATAAATCAACAAAACAAAAAAGATAGACAATGAGTTAAATTGCAAGATTTCTAATATTGAAAATTATTCTAAATGTACTTAAAATAACAAAATACATTGACATGAAAAATTACACTATACCAATTTTTACCATTAATATTATTTTTTTTACACATCACTCAATCGGAGATGTCATATAATAACCAAGTCATTAAACTCACATATATCTTGAACAATCCGCAAACGTGCGGGGCAAACACTAATTATATATTAAAGTAGAGTTTTCAATCAAACACATGGCGCAAATTTAGATAGGCTAATCCACATGGCAGAAAATTAGATAGCCAAGTCCACATGTCACAATCACATCGCTCCATCATTTAATGGTAATTCTTTTAATGTAAAATTGTAAATTTATAGATAAAGAGTAAATTAACTAAAAAAACTAAAGGAAAAAAAGTTAAATTATCGACAACCCTAATAAAAAATTAGGCATACCCAACCGACAATTTATACCCTAAGAAAGATTCAGTCTATAAATGTTAATACCTCCTAATCAAAAATTCATACTGCACGCGTATTGATGCATTTGGTACTTTTTATTAATGATAATTTTTATTTATAAATCCGTAAAATCTATATAAAATAATCAATTTTCCCAGTTTAATTTTTTTTTCATTAACCATGCAAATTTATAAACAATATTTTTATTTAGAAGGGTAACCAACCGCTTAGCAAATCCATAAAATCTATATAGAGAATCAATTTTATCTGATTTAATTTCTTTTAATTAATCACACAAATTTATAATCAATAGGTTCTATTTAGAAGAGTAACCAGCCGCTTTATCATCATAACATTATTATTACTACTTTTTGATTTTAAGAAAAGAACATAGATGGGATTATATTTTTGAAAAATTGCAACAAAATTTATGTTGCATCCAACTTGATTGAAAATATAGATCCAAAGTTGTTTTACTATGTTGTTACATAAGTGAAAATCAAAACGCAAAGAAAAAACAGATTACATGAAACAAAATAGCTTAAACGAATTCAAAGGCCCGTGACACATGGTCTCTTTTTCAAGTTTTTAACAATCAAAGTCTAGCCTAACACTGATGATTGTCGAGGCTTTACAGACGCAGAGTTTGTTGACAAGATTCTATTTTAGAACTACCAAGCAATTCTCCACACACCTGAAATTGATATTCACAACCGGTTTCAATTGCTTTCATCAAGGGATTATTATGATGGTGGCTGCATAATAATTTAAAGTGATAAAAACGTAAATAGTCATCTCCATCACATGCAGTCAGGCATAATTACATTCATCAAATTTTAGGAAAATTCTCAAAAATGATACAATCACAACTCCAAAATAACCTGTGGATACTTTTTATTTGCAGTCACGTTAATAGCCAGCTCTTTTTTTACTGACAATTCAATCGAGATGTTGACTAAAGAAGGGTAATTAAGCGTATAAGACTTTCAAGAATCTGTACATTTGGTCAATGCACCGTTTCATCAAATCCAACTAACTAAAGAAGAGTCAATTCACCTTTTTATAGTTGATCATTTCTAAAGAAGCTGCACATTAATTACTTTCTGTTCATATTATAATGCCAAATGATTTCTTATTTCCTTAACAAGATCACAGAATCATTGATATCATATGGGAGTGATGCCACAGGCAAGATTTCATTCAATTGAAATTATTTAAGATTGAGTGGATTCAATTTTGATTATGAAATCAAAGCAGGTTGAAAACTTAAAGTAAGATTTTTTTTTATTTATTTTTTTGGGAAAAAGAAACCAAGATATTAGTAAAAAAATGAAATAATTATTACAAATATTCATCGTGGAAAAAAAAAGAGATATTAGTGAAGAATGAAATAATTAATACAAATGTTTCAAGAAATCCCTTTTACCCTATTAAAGCAGAATACAGGATGTTGATGTGGCAACTTCTTATTAAAAATTTTTGGCTCCAAATGCACCATATTGCATTAACCATTCTGCCACGTGTCATCTCTTTTTAAAAGAAAAAAAAAATTCTTATCCAAAAAAACAAAAGCTACTTTACAAAAATAGCTACACAATTTTAACTCCTAACATTTATCATTTATCAATCAAATTAAAATAGTATTTAAATTTGTCCATAAACTTATCCCCTTTATTACTCCATATTCTTTCGTATGATTTCTGAATCGTTGTACTTTTCAATATTTTTTCTCCTTTGGCAGATAATTTTTTTATTTTTATAATTATTTTTTGCTAAAAAGAAAAAAAAACAAATGTGTAGCTATTTTATTTTTTCCAAATCAAGAATTCATTTATTTATTAACATAAAATTAAAGTAGAGGGGCGCCCGGGCATCTGCCTGGGCCAAGCATCTAGTACAACGATTAAAGAATGAAGAATGAAATAATTAATACAAATGTTTCAAGAAATAAAGCTTTAAAGAGATATCATCAAATTTAAAAGAGAAAAAAGAAGAAAATAGTGAAAACTATGCAACCAAGAAAAAGTATAGATACAAGATCTCCTACACCACGTTATACATCATTCACTAAGATTTTGAGATATGGCCTGATGGGTTCATCTAAGGCGGATTAAGGTATCAGTAAAAATTTTAAAAGAAAAGTAATAATTAAGTAGAGAACTGCAAAAAAAATATTATATAGTGGATTAGAAAGTGTTGTAAGATTAAGACGTAGGAGATCATGAGCAAAAAAATGAAGCAAACATTATATTATAGGAAAAATATGCGATTAAAATTGTAAAGAAACGTTACAAAAAGTATATAGAATGATGAAAAATAACAGTAAGTTTATGAAATAATGCAAAAATTTTCTGTTATAGGAAGAGTTTAGAAAATATGATACGGGTAGAAATATTTAAAGAGATCATTATGAAAAATTAAAAGATACTTTTAAAAGATATAAGTCATAAATCAAACAAAACAAAAAAGATGGACAATAATTTACATTAGACAATTTCGAATATTGAAAATTATTCCGAAGGTACTTAAAATAACAAAATACATTATAATACTAAAAATTCTACAATTACAATTTATATCATTAATATTATATTTTACATATATCATTTTGTCGGAAACGTCATACAACTGTTAAATCATTAAGCTAATATACATCTTGAACGACCCGCACAACGTGCGGGCTAAACGCTAGTAGCCTAAATATGCACGCAATTTGTTAACAGCACTAAATCATCACTTCTAGAGGGAAGCGCTCCAAGATTTTTAGTACTATGCTGCCATTTCACTTAAAATGGCAAACCGAAAAAGCTACAAATTTTGGCAGAACTTTCTTTTTCCCTTAGTCACTAATAGTACAAGTTTATAGAGGTTTCATTATCATTAGAGGAATTGCACAATGGTCGATCATCATTTCATTAAGATTACAATATAAAATAGTTGTCCGAAACTATTTGTCAGACTAATAATACAGATTCGATTCGAGTGAGTCCCTTTCAAAATAATCAATTCATTTTGATCAAGGAGGCTGTGACATTAACAAACAGAGGGCTCTGTTCTTTAGACATATAATCATTCAGTATTCCCTTGTACCTGGAGAAAACCTCCTCAATAATTTCTTCACCAAAGTGACGAACAAGCAAAGGCTCCGCTATAGCTCTTACGCATTTGGCAAGATTGTTTCCACCATCTCTAAACTTTCCATCTTCCAAAATTTCACCTTCATATGCATTCCAATGAATCTCCGAAGTCTCGAGGCGATCGATCTTGAAAGACCCTTCCAATTCGACTAGAGATCGAACTTGGCCCGGAGATGGTTTGTAATCAGGAATGTTAAATGAATCTAATTTCTCTTCTTCTACTAAACCCTGACATATCATGCATAAAAGTTTACTCTCACAAATTAAAATATGTAAACATAACTTTAAGAGAAACTTTATTAAATTACCTCTGAAACCATTTCCCTAAGAGCCATAGCTAAAAGCTCCCAAAAATAACTGCCTTCCGTACTGCAAGGATTCTCACTTTTTCTTCCCTGCAATGCCAAAACCATGCGGCCACCAGTCACCATTTCTTCTGAACGACATCTTAGAAAAGCCGAAAAATCCTTCTCAAATGGCTTCACATATACACTTATAACACTTTGAGGACTTGAATTTGTTATATGAATGTTTCCCTTGTTTGCTTCTTCCATTTCAGGAACCTGCCAACAAAAATTTAGCTTAGAAAAGATGTTCTATGTAGTTTTGAATCTTTTTGATTACTCCATTCCTCCCGAAAAGAAAACTCTTGGAATAGGGCTATATATGTACCTGTGAAATCCAGTGGAGACTTTAAGATGAGTAAACAAAATGAAGACTTTTGGAGGGGAAGAGCTTTTGATACAACGAACCAGGAACTCCAGTCACAAAACACTGCCCAAAACCAGCTTCCATTTCGTTCCTTAGTTTCTCTTGGAATTCAGGCACTGATTTGAAAATGGTGTTGAAATCGTTACTAGGTAGATCGTTCAAGAAAATCTGGTATTCTGGAGATTCAAGGCCTAAAGTTTTGCGCCTTTTATCGACGGTTTTGATTAGGTCGAAAACCACCATGAAAGTGTTAGGTCCAGAAGAACATCCCAAATCCGCAATGCACCAGGTTTTGGGAGAAATGGTGTTGTAGAGATCTGTGATGGCTGCTTCTGTTATCGGCCTTGTCATTAGTATCACTTCCGTAAAAAAAGAAGAAAACATCTCACAAACAACTTATCATATCAGACTCTGATGTTCCTGATTTATGAATCCTTGTAATTTCACAAAAGCCTTGTAATTTTTGTCACGTCAAATTCAAATATGAAATGTTAAATCAAATTATTAATAGCCCGTCGTAGTTTATATATCAGTCACTTAGGTAATAAATAACGAAGGTGCGACGAAGGGACTATTACAAAAATTTGCATAATATACATGTACCTGGAGAAATGAATTGTTTGCATAACTATTTTCGCCAGTGCCTTCATTCATGCGAATGACATCAGTTGTCACTTCCATAGCTTGCAACCAAACTTCTGTTCACTCACTGTACCAACAAAAACAACTGGTTTTGGGCCTCTTTTAGTTATGCCAATTGAGATATTAGCGTGATTTGAGGTGTGGAAAACGTATGGTGTTAGTGCAGCCTAACATATCCTCAAAAAACTTGTATGGGAAAGGTGGGTCAGATAATCAGATTAACTCCGACAAAAGTTATCCAAAAATGGAATTTATTTTTTTTTTTTATATTTTATCTTCTTGAAATGGTCCAAAAATGGATTTGAGCCAGCAGGTTGCTGCTGTCTCCTGAAGAGGTTCTTCCCTCATTAAAAAAATAATAATAATAAAGGAAGACTTTTTTCTTTTGATTTTGTAAGGAATACTTTCCAACGTTTACACTCTATTTACGAATTTCATCAGAAAAATCCACATTTGAAACAATTGGAAACACCAAAATCCATATTAATTAGAGTAGTAATTCCGGAAGTGAATTTACGGACCGAGGATACACTGAAGAGTGAAGGGATGGAAGCACAAGCCATGATCAGCAGCTTTTTAGTCGTTCATCTATCACTTCTACAAGGAGAATCAATTATGTCTGAAAAAAAAAAAAAAACCTTCTATGATTCAGTTGATTTACTTTTCGATGTGGGACGATAGTTCTAAACACTTTAGAAGGTTGTTATTCGCATGTAGGGGTTTTTTCTTTTGTTGATGGAAGGGAAATGATGCTCCCCTTTGAACTGCATAGATCGATGGATGATGGTTCTATTACTGCGAGGAAACCTATCATTTTTATGTAAAGACAATTGTGATAACGACAGAAAATCAGAACAATCATCACGAGTGACGACAAATGTACTTTTCCTCCTTCTCAAGATAAGATAGGCGAAATAATAAGTGATAAATTGCCGAAGATGATGAATAGCAAGAGTTGTGAAAGAATTAGAAGATATTTTGTGTATTTACAAAAATATTGGAATTTTCGAATTTTTGGAAACTACACATTAAAAATATTTGTTTTGGATATGTTTTAATTTTTTTTATTATATAATAATGCCAGCCAATATTAAATTAAGCAAGTGTCCTAACCTTCTTGCATCTTTTGCTGCTGCGATTGCATAGACTTGATGTATCACCATCGGTTAAAGCGTGGTTAGAACATGATATAATCAGAATTTCTTATCCACGATTTGTAATAGTTTTGACCTAAGGCGTTGGTCTCCTTTTTTATACCAAAAAAAAAAAATAAAGATAAAGTCACGCATTTTAAATAATGTAAACAATGTAATTTCTCTTTTATCATTTCTATAACAACTCATCGTTCACTCTTTTATTTCTCTCGACTTCTAGGAAGTTTTAATATGAATTTTCCTTTCAGATGGTTTTAAGCATTTCAAGGCAAATGACAACAAGTTCTACTGCCTTGGTAGTGAACTAAATGCATCCCCGACGACCCTACTAAATCTTTATAAAGCTGCGCAAGTGAGATTTCCAGGGAAAGTGTTCTTGAAGAAGCTGAAAATTTCTCCTTTGACTTCCTCAAGGAGAAGATTTCACACAATGAAATCGTGGATAAATGGGTTAGATCCAAGGACATTGCAGGAGAGGTAACATATGTATATGAGACCATATATAATTAGCAAATATTTTTAAGCCACTACATTTTTATCAAACATGGAAGAAAAATTATATAACTTAATAGGATGAGAATTGAATGACATTTAATAGTTAGGTTGCTGTCCTTTCTAGTAATATATTAGGGTTCAATTCCCATCAGGAGTTGTAATGGGGGTTTTACCCATATTTAAATAGGGTGATTTGGGGTGGATATTTTTTTTAAAATATATATATATATATATAACTTAATAGGATAATAATTCATAGAAAAAAATGATAAGGAAAAAATAACAAAGAATTGATTATAACTATTCATTTTTAACATTTTTTATTTGGGGTAAATATTTAAGGTTAGGGCATAATTTAGATAATTGACAACTCATTCTTTGTAACTTTTCCTTATAAATTTTTCTTGTACGTATCATTACTCCTTGATTAACCAGTAACCACCAAAGTAGTTGAGCTTCTAGTTTTATAGAAATTTATTGCAATTTCATACTCCCTCTATCCCAAAATTATTGTCCAGTTTGAGATCTCACTTTTAGTATAATTTGAACTAAAAATGAAAACTCAAACTGGACAATAAATATGGGACGGAGGGAATATAAAAGTAAATCGCCACTAGCGCTCAACAAGAAACACAATTTAGCTGCGATTTATTGGATTAGAATCTGAAGCCACTCCCTTAACAAAAAAATCTCTTATCCACTGAACAAAATGTTTAGAATAATAAACAAGACAAAATCCCTTAAAGAAGATCTTCATGATTTACCATAATCTAATACTACTAAGTTACTAAACTATTCAAGTATACACTATTTCTGGTTTATGTATAGTAGTTCCTAGTAAGTCTAAACATGTTGTATTACTAAGACCAGTGAAGAAAGATCCGGTTTCTTTCTCCTTCACAATCAGTATCCTTAAGTGGATCATTATCATATAACCACCCAGTAACCAGAGAATGCCACTTTATCCGAGCTTCAGACCTTTGCCGGACGACAAAACCCGTCACTCCTGCTTTAATTAGCTTCCAAGAAGGCATCGAAAATTCGGAAAAATTTCATCTGTTCTCTGTTTTAACAATTTTTTTTAAAAAAAAAAAGGAAAGAAAAAGAAAAAATGCGAGAACAACAAAGGTCGAGAGGATGTTAGCGTGGATAGATCTAAACAGAAGAAGGATGCAATTAGGGTTCCAGATCTGCAATCAGAGGAGTTTGTAAGAATTGGGGATGAAGTTCAAGTTTCGTCTGGCAATAGGAAGGTAGCAGTTAAAGAGATTCCGAATTTGACTACACCAACAGAAGTAACAGGTTCTCAAATGCGTCAAACCCCCAGTATTGGGCATAGCAGTGAAAAGAAGCAAGGCGAAGTTGAGCTACTGGGGCGAGATCCGACTGCTAAGCGCCAATTGCAATGGCCAGAGATGATAGAACGAGACGGGATGCAAGGAGTCTGGGCTAAGACTGATACAAATAAATTCAAAGCACCCTCAGGCAAATTGCAGTTCATACCGCCAAAGGAGGTGGCTGGACAGAGCATAGCTCAGATGCAGATGGAGGATGTTAAAACTGAAGCGGAATACTGGGAATCTTCTATTGCATGTTTTGTACTAGGTGCTCATCCACCAATAGGTGTTATGGAAAGATATTTCCACAAGCTCTGGGGAAACCTAGGCATTGATAAGGTAATTCTCCTGCCTAGTGGGCTTTTTGTTGTTAGATTTACAACCTTGAACGCTAGAGATACAGTGCTAAATGTAAATTTCTACCACTTTGGGTCAAAGCCCTTAATAGTGAAACCTAGGGATGTAGAAAAAGGGATCAATTATAATGATGTTGAGTATGGCTTGGAAGTTAAGTTCTGGAATCTTAATTGCCTTAGCAGATTGGTAAGTGCAATTGGAACTCCAATTTTAGCAGACGATTATACTGTTAGAAAGGAGAGAGTTCAGTTTGCTAGGGTTCTGGTTGAAGTGAAAATAGCAGCTGCTGTACCTGATAAACTGGTCTTTGAGGATGAGAAGGGGAATGTAAAGGTACAGAAAATAGTATATGAATGGCTCCCCACTAAATCTGATCACTGTTCAGAATATGGCCACCTCACTGATAAGTGCAGACTTAAATTGAGGAAAGAAGAAGATAAACCCAAACAACCAGTGGCAACTTGGAAAAAAGTGGAAAAAAAAAGGATGAAGGACGAAATAACGCTGCCAAGACCATAGCAACTGATGACAACCAAAGGAATCCAATTGTGAGAAGAAAAGATCAATCCTCAAGTGAGATGAGTACCATCAACAGTAATGGGCAGCCTGCAACTAGCTTTCATGAGGAAGGAAACCTAGAGAAGATAAAGGGGGTTCAGAGTGGTGAAGTTGAGAATGTGGTAACTACTGTGGAGAGTTCTATAAGCATTGGAGCAAAGGAGGGATTAGTGATAGATCCTGGTCCAAGTTCCTATGAGTAGCATATTCTCTTGGAATGTAAGGGGCCTCAACTCTCCCCTTAAGCAGCAAGAAATCTGCAAAAGAGTGAATGACCGGAAAAATAGTATGATATGTTTAGTGGAAACAAAGATGACTAGACAAAGAGGAGAGCAATTTTTGCAAATTCGTTGGAAGGGGTGGTAGTGGTGCACTAATTACGATAGTCACGAAAGGGGAAGGATAATGATACTTTGGAACAATGATATAGAGGTACAAGTATTAAATCAGAGTTCGCAGATGATTCATGCCTTCTGCAAGACAAAGCAAGGAAACAGGCCGTTTTATTTTACAGGAATTTATGCATCAAATGAACAGAGGAAAGATCTCAGTTGTGGATGATGTTAATAGGGCTCTCAAATAGTATTGGAGACCCCTAGTTAGTGATGGGGGATTTCAATAGCATCTTGAAGCCTGAGGAAAAATTAGGGGGGAAGCCTGTAGTGCTCCAGGACTTCGAAGAATTTCAATGGAGTATGGAAGAATGTGGTTTACGGGACCTAACCAGAAAAGGAAGATGTTCACATGGTGCAACCAAAGAGTAGGAACTGAAAGGATATACGCCAAGCTAGACAGAGCATTGGTCAATGGTGAATGGATTGATCAATATGCAGAGTCTATAGCAACCGTATTGATGAAAGGAGTATCGGATCACTCACCACTTGAGGTCCAGTTCAAGGTAGAAATGCAGAAGAGGAGAAGTGCTTTTAGATTTTTCAACATGTGGTGTCTATCCACTGATTTTCAGAGAACAGTGGAAAGGAGTTGGGCAGAAAAAGTGGAAGGCACTTGTATGTATCAATTATGCCAGAAGTTGAAAAGGTTCAAAGTGTCCATTGAAGCAGCTTAACAGAATACAATTTGCGGTCATAGTGGAGAAAGCAAACAGAGAAGAGATGTAACTGGAAGTTATGCAACAAAAACTCAGCCTTGATCCCAGTGACGTTGATTTGCAGGTTGAAGAACGGAAACTATATAATCAGTATATTGTGTCCAGAAAAGCTTCAAACAGTTTCCTGCAGCAGAAATCTAAGGAAACTTGGCTTGGTGAAGGAGATGCCAATACGAAATTCTTTCATACATCTTTAAAGGTTAAAGCAATGAAAAGTAGAATCTGGAGAGTACAAGAGGAGAATGGTAGGGAGATTACTGATTAGAAAGGCATCGAAGAGTATTTCGTTTGCTTCTTCAGAGAACTATTAGGGAAGACAAGCAGGAGAGAACCAGCGAAGGAAGAAATGTTTAAGGCTGGGCCTGTACTGTCAGTGGAGCATCAAGTGAGACTTATACAACCAATCCAGAGTGGCGAAATCAAAAAAAGCCATCTTGGACATGGATGTGAACAAAAGTCCAGGACCCGATGGCTATGGCTCGGGGTTTTTCAAAGGAGCTTGGACTACAGTGGAGCACGACGTGGTGTCAGCTGTCAAGGAGTTCTTCAGTACAGGTCAGATACTCAAACAGCTTAACTCAACTTTAATTACTTTGATCCCTAAAGTTGATAATCCTTGTAATGCAAGCCAGTTTAGACCTATATCCTACTGTAACATTATTTATAAGTGCATTTCGAAAATTTTATGTAATAGAATGAGTAGTATCATGCCTGTCTTAGTAGATGAAAACCAAACAGCTTTTGTAAAAGTTAGGCTAATTATGCATAATGTACTTATAACCCAAGAGTTGATTAGATTGTATAGGAGGAAAGGGGTTAGTAAGAGAATGATGATGAAAATTGACTTGAAAAAAGCATTTGATACTGTTGAGTGGGGATTCATAGATGATATGGTAGGTGGGTATGGATTCCCGGAGGAATTTAGGAAATGGATCATGGCATGTGTATCATCGCCATCGTTTTCGATAGCTGTTAATGGCTGCACTGCGGGCTTTTTTGCTGACAAGCGTGGATTAAGACAAGGCGATCCTGTTTCACCTCTTCTTTTCGTCCTAGTAATGGAATACCTTACCCGTAGCCTTAAGAAAGTTGCAGAAACAGGGTTTAGGTTTCATCCTATGTGCAAACAACTCAAACTGACTAATATCTGTTTTGCTGATGATCTAATGATCTTCTACAAAGCAGATGTTGAATCTATGAAGAAGATAATGGGGGTGTTAAGGCATTTTACGGGAACCACAGGTCTTGAGGCAAATGTGCAAAAGTAGGCTATTTACTTCGGTGGGGTTTGTGGGGTGCTGCAGGAGAAAATTGCTGATCTAGTTGAGTTTCCTGTAGCGGTTTTTCCTATGAAGTACCTTGGTGTTTCATTGTCACCCAAAAATGGTCCCAAGTAGAGTGTCAGGGGATCATAAACCGTATAACCGAAAGACTTAAGTGCTGGAGCACTCGGCATCTGTCCTAAGCCGGCAGATTGGTCTTAGTGAATTCAGTACTTATGTCGATGCATACGTACTGGGGTAGCATGTTTATCTTACCACAGAGTATAACAGGGATGGTGAATAGATTATGTAGAGAGTTTCTCTGGGGGGTTAAAGAAAATGGTAGGGTAGTTTCCTTGGTGGGATGGGAAGAGATTTGTAAGAAAAAGGTAGCTAGTGGATTGGGGATCAGGGACGCGAAACTCTGGAATAAAGCAGCCTTACTGAAGCAAGTGTGGCAGATAGCTTCACAGAAAGACGCGCTATGGATTAAATGGATTCATGGTGTTTATATCAAAAGCGCATCTTTCTGGGAAGTTGAGGCTAAAAGCGATGCCAGTTGGCAATGGAAGCAGCTTTTGAAGGTCAGGGATCAGGGGAAACTTGGTTTTGCCGGAAGTAGGTGGCTGGCTTCAAGCAATGGTAAATACACTGTGAAATCAGGGTATGCTTGGTTTATAGGGAATGAGACGAAAGTCAGGGACTTGCAGAGCATCTGGTCACGAATGAATGTACCAAAACACTCGTTCATTGCATGGCTTGCATGGAAAAAGAGGTTGTGGACAAAAGATAGGCTCATCTCAATGCATATGCAGTAAATGATAAACGCTGTCTGCTGTGTAAGCTACAGCTAGAAACTGTTGAACATCTATTTTTTCAGTGCATCTTTGCAGTAGTGGTATTGGAGAAACTTTTCAGATAGCTGGGATGCAGGAAAATAGCAGCAAGTGAAGCACGGTGGAGAATGCAAATTCTGAATATGTGGAAAGGACAGAAGATCAAAAGAAGGCTTCTTTGGGCAGTAATAGCTGCTTGTACATATCAGCTATGGGAGGAGAGAAATCGCAGGCATTTCCAGCAACTGGAGAGAAGCCCAGAACAAATCATGCTACTGATCAAAGATGAAATGAGAGGCCGCTTCTTGTACTGTCACAAGATGAAGAACAGAGCAGTAGCAGCAATCTTTGATAGGTACTGTGTTAGTTGGTTCTATAGAGAGACGTGTTAACAGTGTTTCTCCAACAGTTTTTGTAATAGGGGAATTGGAGCTTCTGTAATAGGGTGTTTTTGTAGCAGCCATGTAGATAGCAGAGTTGGTTTCTACTAAGTTGAGACTGTAAAGAACGGTCATGGTCCCGTTTTGGTGTGCCTTTCTTTATACATACATTTACCTTTTTCACCAATAATAATAATAATAATAATAATAATAACAACGTAAACTAAATTCTTATACAAGTTAGACATTAAATAAAATAAATTTTAAAATAAAACAAAAATAAAAATTACAAAATTTAATTAGTGATGACTACTAAAGCATAAATAAAGTAAATGTCAAATAAAATTTTTTAAAATAAAATAAAGTTTTATAAAAAATTATTACATAAAAAGAAAAGAAAAAATAGAAAAGAAAGAAAAGATAAGAAAAAAAGCTCATGAAGATTGAAAGCTAAACTAGCAGAAGGAATTGCGCAGGGAAAGTGGAAACCAGGGAAGATGGAATATGAGACAAAGACTGGATACAATATGTGGAGGGATCAAGGCCAAAGATTCAAAGAAGCAGAGATAGTCTGGAACAGACTATGCATCCCAAAGCACAGCTATATTGGGTGGCTGGCTTGTAAAGACAGGTTATTGACTAGTAACAGAATGAGGAAAATGAATATCAGGCTGGATCATGCTGAGTGTGTATTGTGTCAGGATAATGTGGAGGAATCTGCTAGTCATTTATTCTTCGAGTGTGGGTATTCTGAGAAACTGTTGAATGGAGTTAAGGAATGGTTGCATTTGGAACTGAGACAGAAGATGTTACAGCAGCTGGTAATACGGATTAAGAATGTGTATAGATATCAGAAAATGGAACAGAAACTGGCGTGTGGAGCATTAATGGCATGTGTTTATCACATCTGGATGGAGAGGAATGCAAGGAGATTCCAGCAAAAGCAGAAACAGGAGGAAGTTAGGCTGGTGGAAATTAAAAAGGAGTTGATGTATAGAGTTCAGTGCATCAGTTCAAAACTGAAAGCCAAAACTGTCAGATACTTAGACAGTATAACTAGCAATTTTGTATAGCAGTAGCAATAGATACAGATACAAGGTCATATGTATTGTACAGCTAGATTCAGTTTAATCAATACAATTCACCATTTACTCAAAAAAAAAAAAAAAAAAAAAAAAACTAGAACTGAGGGGCAAAACTTTATTAATCCTAACTAGATAGAGCAAAACTATAATGATAAAAATTAATTATTAACCGAAAATTGTTGATTAGCTGAGTTGTCTAACGGAACGACCAATTTCAAGCTCTGCTCATAAGTATAGTGACCTCTTAGAAATTTAAAAATTTAAAGTAATGAACGCATCGCAAACTTGCTAATAGTTTAGTGTCGTTCAGATCATAATGTGTAAGAAATATTACCGTTGTGCAAGATTAACGTGATTAATACCGACAAATTATACCGGGATCATGCATGTGCAACGGGGTGTAATTTTTTGGACCAAAACAAAACAAACAATTTTGACCAAATTACTCGACTTATTTTAAGATTGAAATATAAAAAAACAATAGGAACTTATACATGGGCTTGAACCATTTACATTGCGATACTGATCATTCGAAAAATGAACAAATAAAATCTGGAGCTTATGCTTTTCCAAGAAATAGCAAATGGCACGGAAAACTCAGAGCTTCTTAATATAAATTATGCTAAAATAAAAATATGGACAGAACAATCATTTAGGACAGAGTGCATAATAGTAGTATTTGTTTTTAGTTCTTACAATTGCTATGCAGAAAAAAAAAAAAAAAAGAAAGGAACAAAAAACAAAACTGAATATCTATATTTTAATGTTCTTATTGCATTACGTAGTAAATACACTTCATTGTCAAGTCCAGTATTTCATTTTTGCATTTTCTTGATAACTAAGCTCCTTTTATTCAAGCTCGTAGAACTACCTCTTTTTTAATTATGTGAATCCGAGTATAAAACCAAGTGGCTATTGGAAACATAAAATGTTACCTTAATTTGTATGTTCTTAATCTTGTCGGGATTTACTAATGGGCTGTTTTGTAATTGATGTGCATGGAATTGGTGACGGATAGTTTTGAGGAAAATTCGTCGGAGTCCTTAACACTTGTATTTTTGCTTCTAAGACACTATTAAGGAACATACTTGAGCTTGAAATCCGGCACGTTTAGAGAAAGTGTTTTTTTTTTTTTAAAGGTAACTATATATTAGTTAAGAAGAAGTACCTAACCTATTACGATGAATTCTATGGAATGCTAGACTATGTAATTTCACGACATCTTGCCTACTCACTTTAATTAGTGAACACGACTGATATGAAGAAATAGTAGTAACTAACAAAGAGATCACCTCCTGAGCCTCAAAAGGTATAAAAGTAGACCGTAAATCGCCAGTCAAAGCTTCACAGTCTGTGTAAACATGAAGTCAAGTGATTCCTAAATACAATGCCTCCTTCAATGCCAAACGACAAGTCATTGCCTCAGCTTGGAAAGGAGAAAATATACTTAGATCTACTACTTTGATTTGTGTCAACATACCGTGAGGTGATAGTATCTTCCAAGCACCAGGTACATTGCAGGATTGATGACTAAACGAACCATCAAATATGACTAGGGAATCTGCTGGACCCCTAGGCGATTGTGATGGTTGTGCATTAGTGGAGGACCTTCCAGCTCCCAGTCTCCTAAGGTTTTGTTTATGAAGAGTGACTTCATTTTGGATAAGTCTCCAAGATATTGCTGGATCATTAGATTGGTTTCGCCAAAATTTGTCATTCCTCTCGATCCAAATCCTCCAAGTGATGATTAAAAACAAATCAACATCTTCTTTTGTGGAATGAGACTGTGTCCAACTCATGAAGCATTCATGCAAGGAGTGTAGAATTGAAGATGGAGCCAAATAAAGAAAAAGCCAAGGTCCAAATTGCATGAGATGCTCCGCACTTAAAGAATAAGTGTAAGTTATCTTCCTCCTGTCTGCCACATCTGGGGCATAATGTGTCATGACTCTAAAATTTGGCGTGTTTAATACTAAGTAAATTGATGTGGATATTTATATGTAAATTGACGTGGCTAGTACAATAAAAATTCACCTAGCAATTCAAAAATAGGAATAAAATATAGTGGAGAAATATGAACACCTTTGCGTGTCTTAAAATTAGGATATGATTAACTTAACTAGGTTGATATTAAATTAAATTATGACACAATAATAAACTTTATGCCTTTAGAGATCCATCTTGAAATACCGAACATATAAATTAAGAGGGAACAAACCGGAGTAATTAATACAAGATATTAAATGAATAATGTTATCCCTCACACTGTTTTTTATTAATCATTAATATACGTAGTAGTATAACTTGGAAGCAAAGTTTTCCACATAATCCTTTGATTAGTTCTCCTTCATTGGAAGTATTTGGCCGCACAATCTACATTTCTATTCCATTCTAGGTGTTAAATGAATTGAAGCATTGAAGATAAAAATAATAAATAAATAAATAAGTGAAAAGGAGGGAGATTAGGTCGATCATGTCCACCTACGAAATCCTGCACATTTTGGATCAATTTAAAAGTGGCATGTGGGGCTGGTACAATGTTAGACAAAAGCTTTGAGCTACTAATTTGTTTCCTTCAGGTTTAGAAACCTTGAGAAAGTTGTAGGAAGCCTTAGTTTATATCCAATATCTATTAAACAATTGAACGTAATTAGTTTTCTAGATAAGAACCAAGTTAAAGAAGATATAACAATGACAAAATAATAGAATATGGGTGAAGGCAAACTAAGGCAGACTACAAGTAGGAGGTGTCAAGTTTCTGTATTTTTCTAAAACTCTTAGACAAGCAAGACGTAGGAATTAAGCTAGCTTGAAATAAAAGTTTGATCCATGTAAAGTCACATGCACCAGTTTAAGGAAAACCATTAGTTCTCTAGTATAAATACAAGCTCAGACTTCTTTCCACCAAGAGAAAAAAAAAATTAGAGAAAAGAAAACAGAGAAAAAAAAATAGGGAGAGCCAAGGCAAAGAACCCGTAGGATCAAGAAGCTCGTTTTCAGAACGTTGTCGTTAGCTACTTCGGTAAGCGCTGAAGCTTTTGATTTTCCATGGTTGTTTGATACTCTATTATGGTTATCCCGTTGATGCAAAATGTTGTGGAATGAAAATAGAAGGGTTAAGTACTATAAGGTTCGGGTAGTATAATAAAAGTTGTGTAAATTAGTTAATTTATCCTAGATGGGTTGTGTTGCTATGCAACTACTTGATAGTAATCAACTTTAAAATTAATCAAGCCTAGGAAAACCATGTCCGGTTAAGCCTTAGAGATCAGGTTATAAAACTTATTTAATCAATCATGAATAAAAAAAAGGAACTTGCAAGCATTAGTTTTAGTTTGTACGATTTTGATTGATTTAAACCCTCGAGTGTTGAGTTCTAATAAAACATCCGGATTAGAACGTATAATGATATTAAAGAAACATCAAATTATTCCAAGTTTTGTGGCCTCTAAAACATAAAACGGTTTCTGTAAAGTCAACTTAAATGGGTATCAACTTCAAATGAGGTAATCAAGTATATCATGGTTGGGATAGTTTGTTGCGGGGAATATTAAGTACTACGATAGGTCTTATATTTCACCAAGAAAACAGTAAAACCCACGTCTAATACCTCAGCATAAGGACTAGTAATTAATCCAAATTGTTGTTAATTTGATTAACCAAAAGTATTTAAAAAAAAGGAAAAATAAAAAAAAAGAGAGAAAAGGAAGTGGGTTAAACCAAACTTGTATTGGCTCTAATAGTTAGTCACAGTCCTAGCTAGTTAATTATATGGTGTCAAAAGGAAAAAGATAGGTAACAAATTAAAACTACACAGTTACCAATTACTATTACTATGTATAATTTCATTAGATAAAAGTTTCTAATAAAGAGAATAATATAAAAACATGCTTAAGCAATTAAAACTATAGAAAGTGAACTCTTGGAGTGTAGCTAAAATGGTGGAAAGTTTTGTAACAATTGGAATAATAAACCGAACACTTTTATTTTACATAATAGTACTAATAATAATAATAACCATAACACTGCTTCTAATTTGTTAATCTATTACTATTAGGATATATAGGTTACTGGTGGGTTGTCGAAGCCCCCAAAATAATTTACCAACTTAAACTGTAGATAGGATAAGTCAGGTCGATCCCACTGGGACGGTTAAACTTCAAATAACTGGAACACAAAATTGGAAAAACAAGAAAGAAAGTTGCAGAGTGTCACTCACTTGCACAAGTGGGTAAAGTCACTCAGGCAAGTGACTCTGCAGAACTAAAGACAAAGAAAGACAAATGGAACCTCACTCACGGGAGTGAGAATTCCGGCTCAAGGGACTGACTCAACAAACTGGATATTCATTCTCTTTTCCCTATGTAATCAAGTTGTAATCTTGCACTCTTTTGGTATGAATTCATGCTCATTCAGGTACTTATATATCTCTAAGTCACTTCCGATTTTTCCTAGAGGTATCTTTATGAACTCAATTAGACTATTTTCTAATGATTAATTAAGTCATAAAGTCATTAAGTTTTCAAGCCTTATATGAATGCTTATGCTAACCAAGTATATTCCTATCTCAATTAAAACCTTGGACTGTTACCTCCAAGTCATAAGTTGAAGCTAAATGATTCTGAACCTTGTTTACCCTTCCGGGATTCACTTAGTTCTGTGCACAATCAATCAAATGGCCAATTTAATCAAGAGGTAGATGAAAGCTTAACTTCAAAACACATCCGAATGCATTCACAAACTTAAATTACATAGGTTCCAGAGAATGAAATCTAATTAACTACACATACAAACTACAGAAAATACAAGAAAAGAAGTAAAGCATTGACAAGAAGCAAATCTGGATGGCTGAGCAACAGGTCACTCGCCTGAGTGACAAAGGTCACTCAGGCGAGTGAGGTCTGTTACTCCTCTTTTTCTGCTACTGGACTTCTTCTTCCTTTGGAGTTTTCTCCCCTCTCCACTCTCTTCTTCTCTCTCTGTGGTGT